TGTCTGGCAAGTTTTACTGTGAATCATAAATTTCTGTATGAAAAGGTGTAATAGTACAATTTTTTGGTGTGCCCTGTGGTCATTTAAAAATTAAAAGTGCTTGTGAGCAGATCTTGTACAGGGAAAGGATGGGGTCACAGCATGGACATAATTGGAATTATTCCCATTTCCCTGCACAGATTCCCTGCATCAGCTTGGACATGTCACTTTGTTCAGAGGCAGAATAATTCTGACTGAAATGAAGCAGAGGAGAAACATCTCTGAATTTTCTGCCTGTGTTTTTGTGCTGCCACAGCTGCCTGGGCCCCTGATTCCAGCTGCTTAGCCAAGCACATCTTTCCCTGGCACGGTGCACTTTGGAATAGTCCCCAGGGATCTGCAGGAGGGCAGAGATGGATTTTGGCTGGGAGAGCCCTCCTGCCCTTTGGAGGCTGCGTTGGGTGAGACCCACAGGGCAGAGAGGTTCCTCCCTGCCCAGGCTGTGCCATTGGATAGAATAATTGGAATTATGGTTGGTTTGCAAGTGAGCAGCGCCTGGTTTTCTTACAGCAGTGAGTGAGTGAATGACCCTTCTGCCACCCCCAGCATCCTCCTTTACTGGAAATGGGGATTTTCACCCCCTGAAAGGCAGAAGTGGGGCTGGAGCAGAGCTCCCCTGGCTCTGGATGCTGTGCCAGAGCCCAGTCCTTCCCCAGAGCCCTGTGTGTTTGGAATTGGGGCTGGGACAGGGCAGGGGATGCTCCCTGTGTCCCTGCCTCACATCACTGCGGGTGAGGAGCATCCCCCACATCCAGGGCCACCAGCTGGGCAGAGGTGGCTTCATTTTGGGCTGTTCCTCCCCTGCGGGTGGCTCTGGTTCTGCCGTGGCACCGTGCTGAGCTGCTGCTCCCTGCCCGCCTCTCCGAGATCTGATATTCCCCAAAGGAATCGGCAATCCCCTCCTCCAATTCCTGGCAGATTTAGGGAGAGGTTGCCATGGCGACGGGGGAGGAATTGGATCTGCAGCCCAGCTGGGATCAATCCCAGCTGCTGCCTCCTCCTCCTGAGCAGTCAGCGTATTTTTAATAAAGTGACCGTGTACAGGAGCCTTGTCTTTGTCTTGTTAAGCCTTTGTTGTGTATTAAATCCTCAGGGCTTTCACCATAATCTGCTTCGCTCACCAGCTTGACAAATCCCGCCCTTACTCCACGAGCTGTGGCCATTAGATCCAGGAGATATTTCTTTCCTGATGGTTTTTATTTCTGGAATTGAGTTTAATTGGTGAATCGTTGCTAGAAATGAGCGAAATGAAAGGTACAGCCTGTGAGAATGGAACCAAGGCTTCATTCCCAGCTGAGTTCCTCCATGCTGCGCTTTATTTGCCCGAATATTTTTGATGGTTTTTTTTTGATTTTGGGTTTTTTCTGGGCTTCACTGACGTGCTGTGGTGGTGCATGGTTACCTGGGTTACCTGTGACAGGGATTCCTGCTCCTGGAGACACCCTTGGAGGCAAACCCCGTCCAAATTCCCTCTTTAGAACCGAGTTTAGCCCTTGGTGGGACTTAGAGCTAACCCAGGAGCTGCAGTGTGAGCACATCACTGGGGTGAGGAGAGCCCAAAGGGATTTCTGTCCTTTTTCACTTCCAGGGCTCCATCTGGGAGCATTTGGGCTCCGTGGTGAGGGGCTGGGGGCTGTAAAGGAGCAGGGGTTTTGTAGGAGGGGAAGGATGGGAGGGGATGAGCTCCATGAACCCACGGGAAATCCTTGACTGAGTGTGTTTAGTGTTCCAGGACTTTGGTGGATCCTTCTGTGGATCCAGAGGAGCGTGAGCATTCACATTCCTCTTTCTGGTGTGTCACCTTTGGAGACTGGGCAGCCACAGACCCAACACCCACCAATTATCCCACTTTTCTGTGCTGCCCAGGACACTTTATTTACTGCCCAGGTACAGCCTCCTGCCTTAACCTCAGCCTCAGCCCAGCAGGGACACAGCCTCCCTGCCTATTACCAAAATCACCGCTTAATTTGAGCTCATTTCTTTTGTTGAGATGCAAAACTAATTATATTGAACTACAGATGAACAGGAAGTTGCATTAGCAAATTTGTTGGGGGTTTTTTTTTGTTGGTTTTTTTTTTTTTTTTTTAATCAATGGGGAATTATTCAGCATTTTTTGGGGGCTGGGGAACTTTATAACCAGATAAAAGATATGGGGGAGGGCAGAGCTATAAAAAGTGTTATTGTGTGATTATGAAGAGGCCTTTTAATGCAGTTATTATGTGATGCTAAAAAGGCCTTTATTGCTTGAAGTTGGAAGCAGAATACAAATGGGCTCGCAGTGTCTATTAAATGAAGAGTGGAAAAAATAGTCCCCATTTCCCTGAACTGCAAAGCAAAAATAACGATTAAACAGCGATTAAAATCAGCAGTGCTGGCTTTGTTAGCGCGATCACAGGCGGAGCAGCAGAGCTGAGGAGTGGGGAGCGATTGTTGGTGAGGCTCCAGGCACAGCCCATTGTTCTGGGGACCTGTTTGTCCAGGTGACAATGGCAGCTTCTGCTGCTGGAGGCTGCTCAGGCAGTGGCTCAGCTCTCCCCGGTGTGAAATAAGGACAGATGAGCTGGAAGTGACTCATTCCGAGGGATGCTTCCTTCTCCTGCAGCTGAACTGCAGAAGTTACCTGCAGGTTCTGTGGCTGGAGCTGCTGGACAAACACAGCTGGGCTCTTTTGTCCCTGGTTTCATCTCCAGCCATCTGTAGGACAAAGCCTTAGAAGTGTTTGCAAACCAGGGCAGCCCCACAGCCTGTCCAAAATCCTCCAAAGGACCACCAGGAAAAGCCACCTGGGGAAAAAAGCCAGGTAGAATTTTGCTCCTCGGCATCTCTGGCAGAACAGAAATGTTGTGATTTCTCAGTTTTGTGTCTGAACTCCCCCTTTTGTGCACAGGTGAGCACTGGGAGCTCCCAATCCCAATGGAAAAGGGAGGGAATTGGCTCTTGGGATCAACCTCTGAGCATCCTGATCTGGGCTGAGCACGCTGCTGTGAAGTGTTTGTTTATCCTGGGGGTTCACAGTTCCTGTCTCGTGGCAATTCCTGGGTTTGAAAAGTGCCTTTCTGGAGTCACGAGCAATTCCTGGGGGAATTCCCTGTGCCTCCTTCACACTGGGAAGGGGGTGCCTCCTTCACACTGGGAAGGGGCTGTGCTGATGTTCAGTGAAGGAATCGCTGCCCCTCTGCACAACCTTTGCAGAAATGCTGCTCCTTGTTCCATAATGATGGGATTTAATGGGACCTGCACAGCTGGGAGAGCAGAGGGAGCACTGCCTGAACGAGCCAGAGCCAGGGACCTCCTTCTTCCTCCCCTTTCTAAAAGTTTTGCCTTCCCAGGGGTGGTTTCCAGGTTTCATTCTCTTGAAAATCCACCTAGCACTTGGATGCACAAAAGGAGCTGAGCAACAAAAGCAGGAGAATCTGAGAGCTGGGTGTTGCTGGCTCAGATCTCCTGCCTGGCCCTTCTGGCTGTGTTTCCAGGAAGGTATTCCCTGGCTGTGTGGTTTCCTCCTGTTGTGTGCAGCTGATGTGGCACACACGGGCCTAAAGACGCTGAATTCGGGGTGATGGAGAGTTCAATGCTTTCCACAGAGCTTTTCTTCTCCTTCCTGGCTGGAGCAGGAATCACCTGAGGATGGAATGAAAGGCATTGACAAGCCCAGCCTGTGTCCCTGCCTTCGCAGCAGGCAGAGCTCTCCCGAGAGCTGCAGAGAGCCAGGGCTGCATTCACAGAGTGCACCAGGGGGGAAATCTGAATTTCTGTTCCTCTCAACGAGCCCCCAGCCACTTCAGCAGCATCCCAGTGCTGAGCTGAAAGCTGAGGGCTGCTCTGAAAGCCCTTCCTGGGGCTGGTTTCCAAGCTCCTTTCCATTAGTCAGGAGGTCCAGGGGTGCTTTCAAGTCTCTTTTTGGGATCCCTGCAGGATGTGCAGCCCTCCATGTGGCTGTGACCAGGACTCAGCACTCAGCACTCCCAAACTCTGCTTCCACTTGAGTCCTGGCTGGGTTCTTGGGGTCTGGGGCTGTATCCCAGAGCTTTGGGCTGGAGTAGCAGCGTTGATCAGGACAGCCTGCTGAGAGGAGAACCAGGAAAGTGCAGGAAGCTTGGTGCTGGGATCCAGTCTTCCTCTGGAGAGAAGTGCTGTGTCAGGGTGGTTGTTGGCTAAAGGAACGTGCTCAGAAAATCCTGATATTGCTGTCCTTTCCTAAAGGGGGCAGGCAGTGCTCCTCCAGCTGTGGGAGCTCCAAACTCAGTGCCTGACCCCCTGTCCATGTGTTCCCCCAGCACTTTAAGGAATGTTGCCATTGGCACACACAGCTAGGTTTTCATTTCTGAAGCAGTGCTTGTTCCTTATAACCCCAGGTGTGCTTGGCAGCTGAAATAATGCCTCTGTGGTCTGGAGGTAAAATTAGCTGTTCTGAGAGAGGGAGATTTTCAGATTTTCATGCACTACATGAAAACACAGAGGGTTTTTTTCCCCAAACAAAATCTATTTTGGCGTCCTCAAATTCAACTTGACCCGGGCTTGTTAGGCCAAAGATCTGCCGTGGAATTAAGCTATAGCTGGAGGAGAGCCAGAATCCAATTACATTTTCTGCCTAATGGGTCATAATTTATGCAATGAAGAGGGAGGCAGGGATGTTGCTGGGGGAAAAGGGCACTGGGCCTGGGTGGGTGTGCTCTGGGAGGGGCTGCTGGTAAATGGGGATGGGGAGGGCAGGGGTGCTGTCCTTCCTCTGGTGTTTAAAACCTTCCTCCTGCATTCAAAACCTTCCTCTCTTGTTTAAAACCTTCTTCTGGTGTTCAAAACCTTCCTCTCGTGTTTCAAACCAGCAATTCAAATCAGAAAGTAGGTGTCATCCTGGACTGCAAACTGAATAAGGGATCCACGGGCACTGTGAGGTTGGCAGAGGTTTTTTGCTGGAGCCCACGGCCCTTGTCTGACTGTGCTCATTCCCTTGCCAGCCTCTCTCCAAGTGGACATCGTTCCAAGCCAGGGGGAGATCAGCGTTGGAGAATCCAAGTTCTTCTTATGCCAAGGTGCGTGCTGGCTGAAGGTTTGTGCAGTTCAGGATGAGCCAGACCCTGCTGGGCTCACCCTGGCTGCTCTGGGGGTGCTCAGGGGGTGACCCCGAGCTGGGCTGGCTCACTGGGCTCTTTGCTCCCCTCACAGTGGCAGGGGAGGCCAAGTTCAAGGACATCTCGTGGTTCTCCCCGAACGGGGAGAGGCTGACCCCGAACCAGCAGCGCATCTCGGTGGTGCGCAACGATGACTTCTCCTCCACCCTCACCATCTACAACGCCAACATCGACGACGCTGGCATCTACAAGTGTGTGGTCAGCAGCCTGGAGGAGGGAGACTCCGAGGCCACCGTCAACGTCAAGATTTTCCGTAAGGCAGCGCCTCACAGGCTTCTCCTGCGTGTTTGTGAGGCAGGACTGGGGATAACCTTCCTAGGAAAGGCTTTGGAGGGGGAGGAGGAAAGGGGGTGTTCAGATGTTCTTTCCTGGTGTGGAGGGGATGAAGTGGATGGGCAGGGCATCCCCAGGGCTGGAACCCTTCTGAAAGGCAGAGGGCAGGGGGTGGGAGGAGAAGGTTCTGGTGCTTCTGGCAGGAGTTACAGAGAGGAGCTGCTGTGGGTGACACACACCTCTAGTGTGGAGTGAAGAGAGGCCCAGGCGTGCAGAGGGTTTGCAGTGAGCCCTCAGCTGGTCCAGCAGAGCCCTGCCAGCAGCTTCTCCCTCCCTGCAGGGGGGATGAGCAGTCCCAAGTTCCCTCCCTGCAGTGGGGATTATCAGAGTGGTAACTCAGCCCACTGTGGGCACAGGGCTGGAAATGGGGGTGCTGTGGGCAGTGCATTCACTCAGACCTTCATCCTCCTCTGGGAACAAGGGGATTCCTGGGGTTTTGGGGGTTTCTCTGCTTCCCTCAGGCTGGAGGCAGGAGCACAGCCACAGGGTGTGCTGAGGAAGCTGCAGTGACCTTCTCCTTTCCTTGTTTCCAGAAAAGCTGATGTTCAAGAACGCTCCCACCCCTCAGGAATTCAAGGAAGGGGACGATGCTGTGATCGTGTGTGACGTGGTCAGCTCACTGCCCCCCACCATCATCTGGAAGCACAAAGGCAGGGATGTCATCCTAAAAAAGGATGGTAAGGGCTTGGTTCTTGTGCATTTCGGGGTCAAATGTCCATCTCCCTCCCACACCAAATGCTGGTGGTCACAAGGGGCAGGAGAAGCAGTTTGTGCCTGGCACGAGGCCGTGGCATGTGAATTTAGTTATTCCAGGTGCTGTGGTTTGCCAGTAGCAGGGCAATCATATTCCCACTGGAATGGCCATCAGGCTTTGGCACCAGAATCAATCAAGGAATGCTGGAAAAAAATCAAAGAAGTGCCATCAGACAGAAAAGCTGGAATTTGTGACCCCTCCAGCCTTTAAGAGGAAAAGGGGTCCTTGGAAGAACTTTTCCCTTTCTTCCCAAATGCTGCAGACAGCCATGGGCAGAGGGGCTGGCTCAGGCCCTGGCTCCAGCTGAGCAGGTTTCCCACACCTGCCACACAGGTGGTGAGGCTGGAGCTCTGGGCAGGAGGGGTCAGTCCCAAACTAATCCTTGTGTCAGCCTGTCAGGGGGAGCATTGATCTGTTCATCTCCCTGAGCACAACCACAGCACTTGGCTGCTCCCCACAGATGTTTCTTGCCTTGGCAGAAGCAGATCCAGCTGCAGCAGCATCTCCATTTCATGGTGGGGAGGGAGATTTCATTCCAGCAAGGCCAGAAGGGGAGAGCAGAGGAGAAGCTGGAGTGAGCTCCCCTTCCCTTTGTCCTTTGCAGTGCGCTTCATCGTCCTGTCCAACAACTACCTGCAGATCCGGGGCATCAAGAAGACGGATGAGGGGACCTACAGGTGTGAGGGGAGGATCCTGGCCCGTGGGGAGATCAACTTCAAAGACATCCAGGTCATCGTCAACGGTGAGGGGCCCAGGGCTCAGAGCAGCGCCTCCCCCCAGGCTGCTGCTGGAGGTTCACAGCATCCTCTTCCTCTGCTGTGTGCAATGAAAACCTGCAGAGAACGCACTGAGGGTTTGCCAGGTGTTCATGGGATAAAAACAGCTTGAGGAACCTGAAGCTTAGAGTGAGGAACTGAGCTTGGTGGTGCTCATGAGTGGTTTTGGTCATCACACTGAGTTTTTTTTTGTGTCTCCCCACCCACTGCCCATTCTCCCCCACGCTGATGACTTTGGACACGCCTCAGACTCATTGCTGAAACCCTGCAGGTGCTGGTTTGGGTGACTGGTGCCACCAGAAATGCAAAGGAACCTTCTGTCCTTTCCAACTCAGCCGTGGCTTTCTTCTCTTGCAGTCCCTCCGTCGGTGCGTGCCAGGCAGAGCACCATGAATGCCACTGCCAACCTCAGCCAGTCTGTCACCCTGGCCTGCGATGCCGACGGCTTCCCCGAGCCCACCGTCACGTGGACAAAGTAAGATCTGTGTGCAGCGTTCCCCTGGGCTGGGAAGGGGATGTTCTAACTGGGATGAGTTGATTTTTCTCACAAGAGTGGTCTCACCATGGGGCTGGAGTCGCCTTCTGCTGTGGGTCAGGCAGTGAGCACAGAGCACACCCAGGGAAGGGAATATGAGGGTAAAAACCTGGTTGAGATAAAAACAGTTCAGTAAAGCAAAGCAAAGCAAGGAGTTCCTTCAGTGCTCCCCATGGTTCAGCCAGGTCAGCTCTGTCCCTTCCCAGCTTCCTGCATTTCCCTGGCAGGCGGTGATTCCCACTCCAGGGACGCTGTTCCTGGAATTCTGTAGCCTTTGGTGAAGGTTGGGAGCACAAAGTGACGAGGAAAGGCTGGTGGCAGTGTGGAGTGGTGCCTTGGTGTGGCTTCAGTGGGCTCACAGCTCCAGGAGGTGAGAGTTCAGCTGCCAAGAGCCCTGAGACAGGAAAGGTTGGGAATAGGTCTCAAGCTGAGCTCTGGAGGTCATGGGGAGAGGAGAAGGTGCTGGTCCCTCCCAGCGTGAGGAGCTGCAGTGGAATAATTTCTATTATAAAATAACTGAATGAACAAGCTTGAGCCAGCCTTGGGTCACTTCTGCCAGCACAGCCCTGTGTGCTTTGTGCCCCCAGGGATGGAGAGCCCGTGGAGGAGGTGGAGGATGAGGACAAATACAGCTTCAACTACGATGGCTCCGAGCTGGTGATCCAGAGGGTGGACAAGAGCGACGAGGCCGAGTACATCTGCATCGCTGAGAACAAGGCTGGCGAGGCCGATGCCACCATCCACCTCAAAGTCTTTGGTAACCAGCCCCTGAGCACGCCCTGGCAGCCCAGCTGGCTGTTGGTGACACTGCTGGGAGCTGGGGGAACCTGCTTATCCCAATTAATGCCTGCAGGGATTATCCCGAGCTGCTGCTGTGTGCACCACCCTGCCATCGTGTGTGTGCATGGGGAAACTCATCCCAGCTCCTCTCTGCTGAAACACAGGCAGGGCTGGTGGGATCAGACCCACAAATCTCCTCCAGGCCTTCCAGGCTGAACCCTGATCCACCAAAGCTGAAGTTAAAAGGGTTTTAGCACTTTAGTGGGGCTTGCTGCAGCCTGGACAGCGAGGTGAGCTCCAAGCCACCTCTGTGTGAGTAACACCAGGCTTGGAGGAGTGAATCAGGAGCTTTTCTGCCTCCCAGGAATCTGGAAGTGTTGAGGAATGTGGAATTCTCCCTGCCTTGTGTGCAGCCACCTGACAAAGCTGCTTAGCAAAGGGCTAATTTGGGGCAGGGAAAGTCAGCAGGGAGGTGGAAGAGTGAGCTGGTAATCCCAGGGGCTGAGTGTTTGTGCACTCTCAGATGGGTCCTCAAAAGGAGCCTCAGCTGTGAGAATGAGCAGAAGAGGCTCTTGAGGTCTTCTGCAAGGAGGTGCCCTGGTGAAAGTCACTCTGCTCCTTCCCCAGCTGGCAGTAAATTGTCACAGTTCTCCCCAGTGCTGCTTGTTCCAAACACTGCTGTGACAAACCAGCTTCACCCTGAGCCCTGAGGTTCGTTCTCCTCCTCAGCCAAACCCAAAATCACCTACGTGGAGAACAAGACAGCCATGGAGCTGGAGGACCAGATCACGCTGACCTGCGAGGCGTCAGGGGACCCCATCCCCTCCATCACCTGGAGAACCTCCACACGGAACATCAGCAACGAGGAGAAGGTACAACCCTGCCCAAAGCCCCGAGGGGTTGTGGGGTCAGCACAGCTCGTCCCTGCCTGCCCCTGGCCTGCAATTGCATGTGGATGCATGAGGAGCTGCTGCTGCTGCTGCTGCTGCACTGGTGCAGGGCTCACAGCCACACCTGGAGCGCTGCCACAGGCGCCCACCTCGGCACAGAGCAGCTGGGGACACCTTTTGTAATTCCTGCTGTATTCTCTGGGGGGTGGGTTCGGTTGGAGAGACCCTAAACCCTCTTCAGAGGAGCTCTTACAGTTGCAGGAAGCTGCTGGGAGTGGGAATGAGCCCCCTGAGCCCAGAGCTGTGCAGGTGGCAGGTGAGGGGTGCTCCCTCTCCAGGATGCAGTGGATCCAAAATGAGCCTGTTCATTCCTCCTCCGTGCTGTCCTCTGACACTGCACATCCCTGAAGCACAAAAGCCTGGCTGCCTTTTGTGCTCACCTGTTCTGTTGATCCCATCAATACCATTTTGTTCTTAAAAGGCAAAAATAATTAGCAGTTTTTTTTCTTCTTGAAGAAGAGTGCTGGTGTTGTTATTGGCGACAGCTCCTTTAATTAGCCGGGGTTAGGATGTGCTGCTGTACTGGAGATGTTTCATCAGTGATCAGGAGGCAGAATGTGGAGCCAGAGAAAGCCTAGACAAAAGTAAGAGTGAGGAGTTGTTGCTAATTAATAAACTCCTAATAACGGGATGCTTCAGGGCTCAGCTGCCTTGGCCATGCCAGAGGTTCTGGCTCAGTGTGGAGGCAGCAGGTGACACCCTGAAAGTCTTGGAGCAACAGGGGTGTCCACTGTCACTTGTCCCCACAGCTGCTGTCCTGCAGTGCAGCTCCTAAATGAGCTTTTTTAATTGCCCCCATGACGTCAGCCCCTCCCCACGTTGTTCATGTGTAACTTTATTAATCAGGGTGCCAAAGTTTTCCAGCTTCAGCTCTTTCTTAGCATCCTTTGGATCCCAGGGCTGCTGTGAATCCCTGCAATGTTCAGGGAGAGGTTTCCAGCTCCTGCAGACGCTGCAGCCTGACTGGGGGACCTGTTTGGGCAGGATTTGAGGTTATTTATTCACAGGTTTGTCTCTGTTAGGAGAGCCCAGGGAGGTGCCAAGGGCTCCAGTGCTGCTGGCTCTGGAGTTTGGATGGCAGCCACGGACAGAGCTGGGGCAGGGAGGAGAATGTTAAAACTAAAGCCAGTGGCAGAAGAGCCCCCCCTCTGCAGCCCAGTTAAACCATCAAGAGCCCAGTGGCAAAACTGCTAACTCATTTTTGCTGGTTTTTGAGACTCTGCTTGATGCTCTCAGATTGGTGATCAATAGCAAGGGAAATGTTCATTCTCTGACACTTGCAGATGGGGGGAAAGCCAAGGTTTGAGGTACTGCCATGTGTTCATGTGCTGGTTCAAACCTTCAGGGCAAACATTATTTTATCACAGCCCATGCAGTCTCTAGGCTGGATTATTTTTTGTTTGTGTGTGTGCATTTTGTTTTGGTTTGTCTTGTACTTTCCCCATTCTCTCTCTTGTGCTCTGAGTTGAAGTGAACATTTCAGATGTCCAGAAAACCCTGAGGTCAGAACAGCTCTATAAATATTCTACTACAAATTCTATTAGAATATTTAATTCTATTACATATTCTGTTACAAATGCATACATTCCATTTATTCTCCACTTTCTTCCTCTGGGACAGCACAGGGGAGTGGATGGTCTTTGATGCAGGACAAACAATGCTATTTTAAGAATTATCAAGCCTACTTTTGAATATTTCTGTTATCCAGCTACTTGGATGCTTCTCTCTTGCTTCCTGCTGTTTGCTCTTGTAATCATCCCTCAGCGTGGATTTTCAGAGGTGTGGAGATGCCTTAACTCCCATAACATTCTGGAAAACTTACCCAAACCCCCAAAGAAAAAGAGAGTTTTAGTTCAGCTGTGTCTCCTGGCAGATTTTGGGATGTCCCAGGTGCCCTTCCCATGGGGACATGCTGGGTTTGTCACCCAGCACTGGAGCTCAGCCTGTGGGGATGGGGGGGAATCACTCTGCAGGTCCTTGATGCTTTATCCAGAGCTGGATTGGGAGCTGCTGTCCCAGCCACATCACCATTCCCTGGAGGGCAGAACACAAAGGGAGCATCTTCTCACCAAGGGCTCAGCTCTGATTTCTCCCTCCTGCATCCCAAGCACAGTTTAACCTGTGTGCTGTCACTGGGCCTTTCCCCCAGGGCTGCCCCTGTTCCTCAAGCAGGAAAATGCAGATTTCTGCATGGATCTGAGTTGTTTGGCTGGATTACAGGTGTCTGTCACCCCTCTGACAGGAGAATCCCATCACTGCATTGTGCTGTCCTAGAAACAGCCCAGCCCATCCTTCCTCTCGTGTTCTGGGCTGCTGTTGCTGCCCAGCAGCCTCTCTCAGCTCTGTGTTCTTGGCAGCCAAAGCAAATGGATGAGTTTTTAATAATTTAGGAATCTGAAGGTGCAGGAGGCTCTGGATTCCCCCCTCGTTGCCTGGGTGGAGCTGGTCTGTCTCTGTCCAGGTGAGGAAGAGTTAGTCTGGAATTCTCTGGGATGGGGAATGTGGCTCTGCCTCTTTCCTCACACCCCAAGGGCTGCTAAAAACCCCAAGGGTTTGGGAATGGGCTTTGTTCCTTCTTCATCTTCCTTCAGGTTTTCACCAAGGGGTGAAAAGTGTCCCCCTGTGCTGCCACCGCAGAGAGCAGTGGGCAGGAGTGGCAGGGGACTCACAAGGCAGGTCCCTGGACTGAACTGGGTCTGGAAAAGGGATTCCTCTGGATTATTAAGCCTGTCCAGCTTTCACAGCAGGAAATACCCAGCTAGAAAAGGCCAGGTCTGGGAGTGTCCCAGCCCCTGCAGGGCTCGGTGAGCTCCACCTCAGTCCCAAACAAACCATTTGCTTTCCTCAGAGGCGCTGTCAGACGAGGCTGTGTGTCCCATCTCTCGCTATTTTGGTCTCACAGTGTTCACTGGAAGCCCCCTGGCAGCAGTGCTCTGGTTTTGAGTCTCATTCCCTGAGCCTCCATCTCCATCCCTGTCACCCATGTGTGCTGTGACATCCCCACAGTGTCACTGTGCCTCCCAGCCAGTGGTGCCATCCTGGCTCTCGTGTTAGCAGGTGATTTTTGACTCCTGAACTGAAGGGGATCAGTGGAAACAATAAGAGACCAGGAGATAGCTGAAATATAAATTCCAGGGCAGGGAATAGAAAGCAGCCCCTTGGCTCTTTGTGAAGCACAGGGAGCATGATCCATGCTGCTGCTGGCTTTCTCTGAGTGGGAAATATTTCCTTTAATGTGAGGTTTGTGCATGTTTGAGTGCTGGGGGCTGTCCCCAGCCCAGCAGGGGCCAGGTGCTGCCATCCCTGAGCACAGGGAGCTGCAGCTGGGGGCCCTCCTGGCACAGCCTGCATGGAACCAGGGCTCCAAATGCATGATAAGCACATTAATCAGTGTTAATTCATCAGTGTGGGGTGGCAGACAGAGCAGGGGCACAGCACCAGGTCTGTACTCTGCGATTCAGTGGCCAGAGTCACTTCCTGAGCACCAGGTGTGTAGGAGAGGTGAGATGTGACGAGGAAACTGTCACTGCTGTGTAATAAATCGGTCCTGAGGTGCCATCAGCCTTCGTTCAGTCATTTAAAGACCAATTGAGAGGCTGTGAAATGGTGAATGGCAACCTAAATTGACGGGAAAGGGAAGCTGTGATCCCCTCCCCACACAGGAGATGTACAGCTTGGAGCCTGCATGTGCACGCAGCTCAATGTGCTGCAAACACTGGTACCTGAAAGCAACCTTTGATAAACTTTTATTGCTTTTTTTCTGTTGTTGTTGTTGTGTTCTATATCTGTTCTCTCCAGGCTTCGTGGACCCGGCCCGAGAAACAAGAGGTATAAGATTACCAGACCTTTAGCAAACTTTTTAGGTTGTTGGTTTTTGGTTTCTCTTGTAAGCATTAACAAATCTCTAGTGCAGTAACCCACTAAACGAGCATTAATCTGACCCAGTTAAATACCAGTATATAAATGAAGCAGCTTCTAGAGGTAGAAATTGCTTGGCATGTAGTGATGCATTTTTTGGATGAGCAAAGTAGCTGTGTTGGGAGTGAGGAACTCTGCTTGTCACTTAAAAATTAAAGAAAAGGCGATTAAGATTAAAAACGAATGTAAAATGCTGGTTTTACCTTTTTTTTTTTTATTATGCTGCCAGTGTGAATCATCCTCTCTTTCAGAGAGGGGAGAATTAACACCAGCCTGTATTTTGGGAAAGTAATTTTTCCCCAAGAAAGCCTCCTCTGCTCCAGCCAACTCACCTATTTGCTTATGGCACTCCTTCAGTTTGACCTTCTCTTTAAAGGACAACTGCATCGTGTTCCATTTCCAAGTCAATGCAGAGAAACCTTTCACGAGGAGCATTTCTCCAGAAAATGCTCCAAATTGCTCAATTCTTTTAATTTGTCTTTGATCTGCAAGGGTCAGCGAGGGGGAGGTGGGATAATGCAGGGACTGGGGTTGGTGCAAGTGGGGTTTGATTTTATTTCACATTCAGTGCTGTGCTTTAATAATAACAATAATAATAATAACAATAATAATAATGCATGTCAGAGCTGGGTGACTTGGATTTGTATTTTTAGGATCAACTTTGTGGAGGCTCTGATTTTTTTAAAATTATTTTTAAGCCATCTTAAATCCCAGAGGCTGAACAAAGTGAAGCTGTAACTCGAGCACCACCCAGCTGTGTCTCCTGGGGGGCTGAGAAGATCCTGCCCATTCTTCCTTCAGAATAATCTGTTGGATCGTGGCAGGTGGAGGCCTCAGATATTCAGAGCAGTTTGCCTTGAAGAATTTGGAATTTGAGTAGTTGCATCTCCCCAGGACTCACACAAATTCCTGTCACAGCTGTCCCCTCCCTGCTCCCAGTGTTTCCTCTGTGCTCTCTCTCTCCAGCTTTTGATTAATATGAGCACTAATATTATTAAGTTTGCTGTCTCTAAATTTCTTACTGCCTCTGTGTGTTTAAATACCCCAGTGGGGTGCAGGGTAGCTCTCTAAAATTGCTTTTAAATTGATTTAAAGTTGCCTGGGGGCTTTGGGCAGCGGATTCCAGCAGCAGGATGAAGGTCAGGGAATGTTTGGCATGAAGTGTTTGGCTTTCACTGAAGGAATTTAGGGTGAGGAGGTGAAGTCAGTCCTGGCAGCATCTCTGGGTACCCTCGGTCCCACCCCAGACTGGTGCTGGGTGAGGGGTGCAGCCTTAGGAATGTTCAGGGCTGCAGGTAAATACAAATATCAGCCACTGCAGTGCGAGCACAGAGCAAGGACAGACCCCTCACCTTCCCCCAGTGCAGTTCCTGCCTGGGGTCGGGATTTTCAGGGGGTTTGTGGGAGGTGGGTGAGGAGGAGACAGGACACTGCAGAATTATTCATGGATGCTTCTTTGGGAAAGGCCTGAAAGCTCCAGAAGGTGAAGGGAAGGGGGATTAATGTGTTTTATTTGCCTCTGCCTGCCCCCTTTGGCCCTGAGCAGCTGAGCTCTGCCCCAGGGCATGGCCAGAATTTGGGGAAAAATACCTGCAGTAGCTCAGGATAAATTCCAATAATTGGCAATGCAGGGAACACGGTGCTCTGTTCTGAGGAGTGATGCACTGCCCGTGCCCCTGGGCTGCTCTCCCCAGCACCAGGGAACATTTTGTTAACCCAGATCCATGTAGCCAGGGAGATTTGACTAAAAGGGTTACAGATGTCAACATCTGGCTCCCAAATTCCTGCAACAGCCAGAGCACCTGATGGGCTGCAGTAGGGAGAGAGAAAACTCGGGATGTGCTTTCTTGGGTAGGTGTTTTTCTCTTCCTTAGAGCGTTTTTTCCTGATCTCTCTTTTTCTTCCCTTTTGCCTTTTTGCATTAAAAAAACAGAGCTTCATCTTCAGTTGCATTGCTCATGAAATCATCACTGACCATGATTTCCTGGCAATCCTTGGTGTCAGATCTTGAGGAGGTGGGGAGAAAAGGCAGGAGACATTTGAGTGTAAAACTGCCTTTTCTAGATTCACCTGTGGTGATGCTACACTGCTGTTTTGTCCCTTTCACTCTTCTGGTGAGGTCACAGGGACAAGTGTTGAGAATTTGCCCCCAGACCCGTGGATCCTGCTGGAAGTGAGCTGGGGTTTTTGGAGGGAAATGGGAAGTCAGACAGCAGCAGAGCAGTGCAGTCAGCCAGGGGAGTGAGACAAAAGCAGATTTTGGTTGTGTGATACCACAGTAGTTTCATGTTAAGCTGTAGGAAATGAGCACCACGTGTCCATAGAATAGCTGCTCCCAGCAGGAGAGGGATGGAGTTTGTAGCTCATGGCACTGGCCAGGATTGCAGCAGGGAAGAGAGAGGAGAAAAATACACTCAGTTGTTTATGTGTCATCAAAAGACACTATTTTTGTGCATTTGAAATTGGCCTGGTGCCCATGAACTGATACTGGAACTAACTGAGGTGACAAACAACATTTATTTGTAGAAACTTTGTCAGTCTCGGGGCCTGAGTCTTCAGCTCAGCACAGAAAGAGGCTTCAGGCCCAGAGGTCTCACACCTGAGGTACCAGAAATGCTTTTTGTGCACTTGGCTGTTGGAAATCCTCAGGGTTTTACTCATTTATCAGCACTTGTCCTGTACCTTCCAAGAAAACAGATGCTCCTGGAGAGTGGCAGGATGGAGCAGCAGGCACAGCCAGGAGGGTGCCAGATTTACTCCCTGGTGCTCGTGCTGCAAAATCAGAAACCAGAGGAGGGAGTTGGTGCTTTAGAGCTTCCAGGAGGGAGAGAGGAGCCCATGGCTTTGTGTTCTCATGGATTAGGGGAGCTTTGGTGGCAAATGGGAGAGGAAAACGGTGTGGGCAGGGATGGCTGGGTGGGTGCAGTCCCTTGGCAATCCCCTTGGATTTTACATTCCCTGTTTCTCTCTGTCCGTGGCATCCCCACACTCTCCAGCGTGTGGGAAGCGGTTCTGGGATTTTCTTGAGGCAGGGCTGTCTCTGGAGGTTTTCTTGTCCTTTTCACTGCACTTTCCTCTCTTCCTGTGCCACGTTCAGGTGAAAGTTCTGAGCTTCCTTTTTGCCTGATTAATTTCTGAGCTCTGGATCTGTTCTTCCTTACCCGTGTCAGGGACACTGAGATAAAACCAGTATTGCTGAGAGGGCAGGAAGGGCTGCATTCTCTGACTGGAAGCTCTTGGGGAGGTTTCCTTTTTTTTAATTTTTATTTCTTTGCATGCTGGCAAAACTTTTTAACCAGAGCTGGATCTCTGCACTTCCCATTCTGGGGAGAAGCTTGACTTTGTTCTCAGATACGCAGTAGCTCCCTTGGTCCTTCTTTTTGTGTTTTCCCCTTCCCCCGAGCGCTCCGAGCCGCGGCAGCGGGCGCTGCGTGATTCCTCTTGGAATTGCCTCTCGTGCTCTCACCTGGCCCCAGGTGAGGGGATCCCGGTGGCGTGGGGCAGGGTTTGTGTCCCGGGGGGCTCTGACCGTGCTGTGTGTCCCGCAGACGCTGGACGGGCGGATCGTGGTGCGCAGCCACGCGCGCGTGTCCTCGCTGACGCTCAAGGACATCCAGTACACGGACGCGGGCGAGTACGTGTGCACGGCCAGCAACACCATCGGGCAGGACTCGCAGGCCATGTACCTGGAAGTGCAGTGTAAGTGGGCTGGGAGCCTCCCTCCGGGGCTGCTTCCTTCCCCGAGGGTGGGGAAGCGGCTCGGGCCGGTAAAAGTCTGCTCTGAGATGTTGGGACGCTCCTCGCGCGTGGGCACGGATCTGCTGCAGCCCCGTTTGTTGGGAATCAAAAACCTTTAAACAGCTCTCCTGCTGTCATTTCCCAGCTCCATCCTGCTGGCTGCTCCTCCAGCAGCCATGGGGCCGAGCAGGTTTTCTCCTCATGCCCTTCAGCAAAGGACATTCCCACCCCGCTGGGTGAGAGGACAGCTCCCATTTCCAATATTAGATTCCCTTTCCCGCATTGAGGTGGACTCCAGCCAAGGGATCCTCACGGTGAGGCTGCCTGGGCTGCTTTGGGAGCTTGGCTGGCTCCAATTTCCTTCCCAAACGTGTCTTTCAGATGCCCCCAAGCTGCAGGGCCCTGTGGCCGTGTACACCTGGGAAGGAAACCAAGTGAACATCACCTGTGAGGTGTTTGCCTACCCCAGTGCTGTCATCTCCTGGTTCCGGGATGGGCAGCTCCTCCCCAGCTCCAACTACAGCAACATCAAGATCTACAACACCCCCTCAGCAAGTTACCTGGAGGTGAGGAAAAGCCAGCAGGGCTCAGTGCCATCAAATAATTGATGCTGAGAAAATGGAAGAAAATCAAGTAACAGAAGCTCAGTCCCTGTTTGTCTCCGCTTTGTGCCCACTGCAGTTCTCTCCCCCATGGACAGCCCTGCAAGCACAAATGCTTGGATTTTATTGTAGCTAAATTCAGGGCTCCTCAGCAGAGTGAAAAGGGTTTTGTGATCCCAGCCTGAGCCTTCCTTCCCCCCACAGGTGACCCCAGACTCAGAGAACGACTTTGGGAACTACAACTGCACGGCTGTGAACCGCATCGGGCAGGAGTCCTCCGAGTTCATCCTGGTGCAGGCAGGTGAGCAGGGAGGGTTGGGACACAGCAGCCCAGCTTTGCTAGTTCGTGTTGCTGGGGTAGCAGGAGAGCAATTTCTGCCTCCCAAGAGGCTGTTGATAGGTTTTGGGCTGGGTTGGAGCTGCTCTGCATCTCCTCGTTTCTCCAGGGGCTGGTTCTTTTCTGTGCTCCCAGAGCCCTTTGTCAGAGCTGTGATCTCGGCTTTGTGCACCCCAAAGCAGCCAGCCCCCCTGGCAGCAGCTGAAATCCAGCAGGATCCAAGGCTCAGGGCTGTGCCAGCCCCTGGAGGGGCTCCAGGGCTGCCAGAGGCAGATTTGGGACTCGAGCTCTGCATTGCAGTGCCCTGTGCGAGGCACAGTGGGGACAGAGACATCCAGGATACTGCCCTGCCTGTTCTCTTTTGGAGAACTGGGAGCCTCCAGCCTCTTAGAGAGGAGACAAAACGAAGATCCATGCACATTTCAACATCTTTAAAAGCTGCCTGAACCCTCTGGGAGGCTCAGCCCTACCCCTGTCCTCCACTGCAGGGAGCCAGGGGCTGCTGGAGCTCCTTTCCCAGCCCCGGTGTCTCACTGCCTGCTGTCCCTTGTCCCCAGACACGCCGTCCTCGCCCTCCATCGGCAGGGTGGAGCCCTATTCCAGCAGTGCCCAGGTGGAGTTCGAGGAGCCCGAGGCCACGGGCGGGGTGCCCATCCTCAAGTACAAGGCGGAGTGGAGGGCCCTGGGCGAGGGGGACTGGCACGCCAGGCTCTACGATGCCAAGGAAGGTAGGAGTGACAAAAACACCCGGTTCCTTCGCCACCAGCACCGAAAACAAATTGGCTTTGCTGTAAGGAAAAGCCAGGGAGGGTGGAGGCTTCAGGCTGGAAGCTCCAGATGAGTTTTTAAACATTTGCTGTGAGCAACACCTGGAATTTTCAGCTGGAAATGAGGGTTGGGCTTTGCTGAGAGCTCTGCCTTGAGCAAGGTGAGGAATCCTGTGCTTGGAATAATGGTTTTCACTTGCTGCTTCCCACAGGAGGCTTTTGAACCCTCATCTGTCACCCCTTGGTCCCCCTTGGAAAATAAACTCTGCTATTCCGGCAGCAAACCCGTCTTGTTGAAGTGATCTATAGCAGTGCCTGCTGCATAAAATCCATCTTGGAGTCAAATAAAGCAAAAGAATTTTGATTTGGGGAGGGCTGTGAAAAGGAGAGTTCTACTCCAGAGCTGAATCTTCCACCACCAATCCTGTGTGGAGCTGAAATTCCTATTTTAGTTCCCCTCTGGAGTGGTGTGATCCCAGCTAGGGTCAGGTTTATTTGTCCCTTTTCTCCCTGCGCGGGGAAAACAAAATTTGTGTATTTCTTTCTTTGAGCTTTTCTTTGCTTTTTTTTCCTTTTTTTTCCCCTCCAGCCAACGTGGAGGGTTTGGTGACTATCACAGGGCTAAAGCCTGAGACCACCTATGCAGTGAGGCTGTCAGCAGTCAATGGCAAGGGCGTGGGGGAGCTCAGCCTGCCTGCCGAGTTCAAAACACAACCAGTTCGTAAGTACAGCCCTGCCTCGCTCTGCTTCCCTCCCCTGCAGTCTCTGCCATGCATGGATCTCACCTTTTCTCTCTCACAGACCTCACTGCACCCTCTGTTTTCTCTGTGGTTTTGGGTTGGAGCGGATTTTGAGGATAATTAAAAAGCTTTCTTCGAAGGGAGGAGGCAGAGGAGTTGTTTCGTTTGCACTGGGTGGTGTTCCCAGTTTAACCTTGGTGTTGACAAAGAGAAGGGGCTGTGGAAAGGAGAATTTTAATGAGAAAAAGCAGCTGAGAAGGGTTTTGGTCACAGAGAATGCGATGTCACTGTCACAAGGCTGGTTTGTTTTCCAAATTAAGGTGTTGAGCACAGCTCTGGCCTTGGGCTGTGGAAGGTGAGGGCAGGGTTACTCTGTTCTGATGATGCCCGTGCAGCTCTTGAGGGCATACCATGGATTCCTCAGGCTCTGCTCTGCTCTGCCTGGGCCATCTCCGTGTTCTGCTGTGGCCCAGCACTGTTCTGTTCCAGGAAAGAATTAAATCCCAGGGAGCTCTCCAAGGTGGGAGGAGAGGAGGAGGAAAACGTTTAAAAAGCAGAATGGGCAGGGGAGATGTGCCCAAAGCAGGCAGGGAGAGGTTCTGCTCCGTTGGTTCTTTCCCTTTCCTCCTGCATCCAGCTCTGGGCTGTGGTTCCCAGCTCTGGGCAGTGATTCCCAGCTCTGGACTGTGGTTCCCAGCTCTGGGCTGTGGTTCCCAGCTCTGGACTGTGGTTCCCAGCTCTGGACTGTGGTTCCCAGCCCTGGACTGTGGTTCCCAGCCCTGGACTGTGGTTCCCAGCTCTGGGCTGTGGTTCCCAGCTCTGGACTGTGGTTCCCAGCTCTGGGCAGTGGTTCCCAGCTCTGGGCAGTGGTTCCCAGCCCTGGACTGTGGTTCCCAGCCCTCTGCTGGGATTCTCTCTCTGCTGGACCCTGGACTGGCCGTTCCCAGCCCACCCTGAGCATGTCTGGAGTCCCCTGAGCTGTGCCCAGGCTCGACTTTGCCACCTTCTGCCCATCCCTGCTGAGCAGGACCCACCTGGGTGATTTTCCAGCTCCATATTCTCTGTCTCCTCACATCTTTTACATTTATTTTTTTGTGTGTGTGTGTGTCTATCTCCGACTTTTTATTTCGATTTTGTGTCCCATCCATGGATAAACCGCAGGCATCCCTCACCCACGTAAGTGCTCTCTGCATTTCTTTCACTCTCTCTTTGTGTTTTTAGAGTGTTCCTTTAACACCCAGAACTTTTAATTTAGTGCCTTTTTCCTCTCAGGGGCTTTAGGATTGGAGTAACTGGTAGTGTCCATTTCCTAACAACACTGACTGGAGTAGCCACTCTGCTCTTGTTTAGAACAGAATTAGGGTTAACTCTTTGTCTGTGCTCTACAGCATGCAGTTGAAATATTTAATGTAGTGATTATCTAATAATAATAATAATAATAATAAAAATAATAATAGTTAGCTTGTTGACTCAGAGTGGAGTAGTGGAAGGCTTTGTATTTATGAATCCCATTAAAAATTGTTCAATTTAAATGATACTGAGATAATTCAGGGAAGTCAATTCAGCTAAGCTGCAGATCTGGTTTAGACCAGAGCCAACCAAAAACTTCAAAATTTTGAATATCTCCACAATTTTGAAAGCACAAGATTGAAGAAAAAAAATTCAAATTTTTTTTTTTCCTCTTCTCACTTAATGATTTTTACCACTGCTCAGTCTTCCAGCACTTGTGTAGATTGTGTGATTAAATAAATAAACCTCATACTAAATTTTAAAGCATGGCACGTTCCCCACTTGCCCATGGAGAATGAGTCAGGAATGTGATGGATTTGTGTGATTGTGAGAGAAACACTGAGATGGCTCCATAGCTTTGTGCCTTTCCAGTCAAAACTGATCAATGGAGCTAAAAAAAACCCTCTTTATCCCAGTGAGCATTATTCCATTTATCAATGCATCCTCGTGGGGAGCTGCTGTTGTTCCCAAGATTACCAGGACAAGCTCGAAGAAGCTGCTGTCACATTCTTTGAGATTCCTGAAGTGAAAAACAGGAGAGGATTATAAAATATTTTTATTTTAAATGGCTCTGGTGCCGTTTTCCCCTAAAGATTGCTTTGGGCAAAAGCTTGGATTTGGTGGAGCAGGAAGGGGAAGGAGGGAGGGACAGCAGGACAGGGAAATTGCAGTGGTTTGGGAGCCACTGGGAGGCATTTCCAGGGCATTTGTGCAGTCTGAGCTTGTTGGGAGCCCGTTAATTGCAGGAACATTAATGAGGATGATGGGGCTCAGGCTGAGGATTGGGGATGAAGAATCCCTGGGAGAGCAGGGCTGCAGGAAATGGGGGAAAATCCAGTTGGGAAGAGAGGAGAAAGAGCCTGAAAAGCTGTGCTGCAGCCTCGTGGCCATCACCTGGGGACAGTGGGTGCTGTGCAGAACATTCCAGCACTTCTGGACTGGAGCCTTTGGCTTTATTCCTTGTATTTTCACGTGGCAGTGGGCTGTCAGTCACTCTGTGCTCCCCAGCTCCAGTTTTCCCTCCTTTAACTCATTTTTCATTCACAAATCCATCCTGCTCTCCAAGCCCTGCAGCTGGGATCATCCTGTGTCCCCCATTCTCTCTGCTCCTTCCCAGAGCCCATCTCAGAACCTGACTGAGGAAATGGCACCACAAAAACTCCTTTTTTTTCCATCTCTGCTGGAATTCCATCACCTCTTTGTGGGCAGGAAGGATTTTTGTCCCTTCAAGTGTGATTTGAAGGTCACAGAGATGTTTTAGGAATTTTACTGCTCAGATTAACCAAAGACACTTATTTTCCTTGCCCTATTATTTAAAGTTTCTGTCTGGATGTAAAACCTGACACCATTTTTAATGCCTGCTGGGATAAGTCTGAAGTCATTTTGATTTATTTAACTTCCCTCAAAAAGAAAGTTTCTGTCTATCTTAGAGGGCTTCTCCATGAGGTAATTAGTGATAATTATGGATTATAGTGGCACAGATGAGAATTCTGGAGGTTGGGAGAATGTCTGAGTTGACCTGGGTTTGTATTTTCATTTTAACCATTTGCTGCTTTTCTTCATTTCCTTTTCCTCACAAATCTGAAGCCTGGAGAGCAGGGGAGGGGATTGAACCCAAAAAAATGTTCAACCCCCAGAGTGTGTGTGTGCGGCTGCTACCAAAATATCTCCGTGTACCAACCCCCAGGCCAACAAACCAACACTAAAATCACCTCCCACCTTCCAAATCTCCTCATTTCCTGGTTTTTGGCAGCATTTTCCAGGGATGCCCTCCCTTTGCTCACCTGATTTCTCTTCCTTCAGCCAGTGCTGCTGCCCCCAGCTCTCGTTTGGCTCACAGTGAGTACGGCAGGGGCTTTGCTCCCCTGTGCTCTGCACGAGCTCCTCACGAGTGTGATGCATTTCTAACAGCCCTGGATGCTTCCCTGCTTCCCTGCAGGGCTTTTCCCACCCCAAATCTCTGCCTGGAGCTGCTCTGCAGCTTCCCAAGGTCGGATTTGCCCTTCTCGTGTCCCTGCCCGTTGGAGGCACAGTGCTGAGAATTCTTTTGGTTGTAAAGGTTTTGTGGGGACCAACAGAGAAATCCCTCCCAGTTTGTGTCCCTCCTGCTGGGTTCTTCCCAGGACTTTTGGAAGCAAAGACATTCCTTGTCCTCCTGCCCTGGAAGTCTTGGTGTCAGTGCTGGCACAGTCTGTGCTCTGGGGAGTGCAGGCTTCTCTCCCTAATAACAAACCCATTTATTTCCCGAGGTGTTCACTTGTTTAGGGTTTTTAGCCCTGTTTTCCTCCTCTCTCTGTGTTCCTGGGTGTTGTGCAGGGAGGTGGCAGCAAGCAGGGGCTCAGATCTCCTCAGGAACTGCCCCTGGAGGCCTCCCAAATATTCCATTAATGGGCAGGTTGGGGCCAAAATGAGGCAAAAAAGGGATATTGGATGCTGGGAGAATGAGGAGACACAATATCCTGCAGGAGAGATTCCAGGGCCCTGCTTATCTTTAAAGAGGCTTCCAAAAAATTCTCTATCTGTGATGGGAGCTGGGTTCAGGCTCCCTTGGTTGGGTGGTCAAGGGAGAGGAGAAGCACTCAGTGAAGATCCTCATTTACCTGGTGCATGTGTGTGTTTTGCATAATTAATGATCTCTGCAAAGCCAAGTGCTCTCCTGGTGATTTGCAATAATAAAAAGTGTGTCTGTGGGAATGTGAGCTAACTGAGGGGTTCACCTGAGTGGGTTAGGAATGGTTTCCTGAAAGGAAAACACTAAAAGCATGAAGTGTGGGATTGTCTTGTGGGCTGGGCTAGAAGGAGAGTATGGCCAGCAAATTAATTTGTAATTAGTTATAATTAACACTGCATTTATGACTGGCACGTTGCACGGTCTTACACGAGGCTTAAAATGTCCCATATCTGCCAGTGGGCACAGCCAGCGTGCTCCTTGTACAGTAATTTTTATTTTATTATTATTTTTTATTTTAAATTTATAATTTTTATATCTGAAAATCCCTGAAGAGACCTTTTAATTCCCAGCAGGCCTGGAGAGGGTGAAGGGCAGGGTCTGCTCATCATCTTTTATTCTCTGGCAGGCAGAGACTCCCTTCTGGCTGCTCATGTGTGGGCTGGAGAGAGCTTCCCTCAGAGGGAAAACGTTGGGTTCATGTTTTACACAACAGTTTGTTCTTAAAAAAAAATATAAATCTTTACCCAGAAAAGCTCCTAAGAGCTAATTAATGATAAACATTTCCCCCAGATTTGTTGGCGTGGGGGTTGTGTGTAGGGGAGGAGGAGGAGGAGGGTGAAGGTTTCCCTTTCCACCTGGAGCTGGGATTTGTGTGTACATTCCCTGTATGCAAATGCTGCCCACATTTGTATTCTGGGCCGTGCTGCAGCCCGTGGAAATGAGGAATTGAGCAGCAGAGGAAGGGCACTGGCACGGGGCAGCTGCTCCTCCAGCTCTGCATCATTTAATTACTGCTGCTGCTGTGGATGATCTGTGCTCTCCCCTGGCCTCACCTCGGGGGTGCAGTGAATGAAACCAGCAGCAATTAGGGACCAGGAGCTGCTCTGTGGCACCACAGAGGCAGGGACAGAAAGCTAATGAGGCTGCAGGGCTCTCCTCACTGCCTCTCCGGGGTTTGGGTGGCATGGGGGAGATGTCTCTGGGCGTGGAGAGGCTTTGGGAATGTCTCTCCTTGGGTTTAACCCTCTGAGCTCGCTCCAGGAAATGGTTCTGTACCAGTCTTGATGTTTTTCTTGCAGCTCTCTCCACTCTGGGACCTGTTTTGCCTTGCAATGGTTGAGCTCACTTGGAAAAAGGGATTTTTTTTCAGGTTGGAGAAGCCTGGTCTAGTGGAAAGTGCCTCTGCCTAGGACTGGATAATCTTTAAGGTTCCTTCCATCCCCAAACCAGTTTATTCTATTTATGCTGCTAACTCTGCCCTTGATCTTCACCTAAAGCTCCTCTCATGAGGACAGGCAGCCTCTCTTGCCTGGTTTGAAATCTCAGGTTGTGTTGAGCTCCCTGGAGTTTGGGAGATGTTTCCTCCTGACCAGAAGACACGGATTTTCCTTCCAGGCAGTCTCACAGGAACTCTTACACCTCCCTCCTTTCCTTCCCAGTGCCCAGAGTTCTGTGAGCCTGTGTTTGAGGAGAATGGATCGAGGGCTCGGCTGTAACAAATGGATTTTACATTTTGTGCCGTCAGTTTTTCCCCCGGTAATGGTCTGTCCTTAATCTTGTCACAGACAAGCACCCAAAAGATTAAAGGTTTAATTCTCTATACATCAAATTAACAGAGCACTGTGGAGTAGCCTCATTAGGACGAGACAGAGGCACACAGGGTGTGAGAAATGCGAGTTACAGAGTGATTTGGGAAGGGAATTTGGGCTCAGTGCTCTGCTCCGGGCTGGCAGCTGATTTTTCCTCATTCCCTGCCCCTCTCCCTGCACTCCTCCATCTCTCCCAGCAGCTGCTGCCTTGCCTGGGCCCCGCTGCCGATGGATTCCCTGTCCTTGGGATTGCTGGGGACGGATTCCCCCTGCTCACCCCCTCCCCTCGGTGGCACTGCTGCCTGGCTCCCACCGACCCCAAATCCTGCCTGGAAAAGTGTCCTTGGAACGTCCCCTCAGCAGGATTTTCTCTTGTGCACTTGTTGTTGTTGTTGTTGAGGGGTCTGTGCTGCAGAGGGAGGACACCCCAGTGTGGGAGCCAAGGTTTGCCCTCGTTTTGGGCTGCTCTGACCCTTTCACCTCCGCTGCCTCGGAATAACAATATTCCCTTTTTCTTCCCAGCAGTTTTGTGGATTCCTCCAGCAGTCCTGGCACACACTACAATGATTTTTGTCCCTTTTGTTCTTTGTATGACTAAGCAGTGACGCAGCTGTGCCTAACACAAGGCCATAACTCAGTGCTTGCTGTGGTTTAATATTCTTATTTTCCAGGCGATTTTACTGTCCCCCCCCAGTGTTTCTGATATATGCTGGCTAATTTAATTTTGCTCCTATTTTTATTTACTCTGTAATTCTGTTGTTGATTTTTTTCCCTTGCCCATTGTTTACATCAGTTTTTTAATTTTTTTGTATTTTCCATGTGACCTCCTCCACTTTCCTTTCAACCAAACTCATGTGCGTGCGTATCATGTGAATTTGTCATGTGGCTTGCATGGTGCTGATGATGTCGTCCTCGCTGGTGAACAGAAGGTAAAATAACTTTGTTCTGATTGGTTGCCTAGATTTTTGGGGTGAGGATTCCCCTCTGGGATCTCCAAATTCCAAAAAAAAAATAAAAAAAGAAAAAAAAAAAAGAAGAAGAAGAAAGGAAAAATTAAAAGAAAAATCCTTTCCAACCGAGCCTTTTTGGAAGAGTTGCTCATCACTTTCTGCATGGGAAGAACTCGACTTCAGTCCTCTGCACTGAGCTGGGGAAAAACCAAACAAAAAAAAATCACCTGGCTCAGTCATTTGCTTCTTCATTCTCAGAGTCCAGCAAGGAACTCTCCTAGGAAGGTGCTAAAAATCCTCTGGAATTAACACCAGAGGCCAAAAATCCTTTTGCCTCTCAGGGTACCAAGCACAGACTCGAATTTGATGGGAGATTAGGGCTCGGATTCTGGGAGCAGCCTCTCTCCTGTTGCTTTAGCAGCATTTGGACCCTATAAAATACACATTTATATAGAGATATGTGCACACAGCCACACTGCACGTGTTTAGTTGCCTTCCAGAATAATCCTGAGTTCTTTGAAATCTGATTATTTGGAGTATGGCACAATTTGATTTAAGAAATAAATATTGTGAGTAAAACTTCAGCGTAGCTCGGATGAGAGCTGTGTTATGAAATACCCTCTCTGTAAAATGCTACTATAAAATCCTCTCTCTGTGTGAAATTCTAGATATAAATCCTGTGAAACAGCACACCCAGGGTTCCTGGGGGGAGCCAGACCTCACACAGTTCTCACCAGAGGTGCTGCTGCTCTTCTCCTGCCAGAGCCCCTCGTTCCTCCCACGGAGGCTCTGGGAGCCTGGCAAGGCTTGAACCTGAGCTCAGCTCACAGGAGCTGCTGATCCCCAGCAAATCAAGAAGCAAATGATTGACCCTGGCACTTTGTGGAGATGGAATCAGCCTCCAGCAAAGTGTGGGGTGGTGAGGAACAATTCCTGTGATTTTTATGACTTCGCTCTGTGCACAGTCTCAGCGGGGGGAGGGAGGGAAGCTCCTGCTTTTCTGCTGCCCCAGCCAAAGGAGGAACTGTAAGAACCAGGGAGGAATTGGCTTTTTACAATCCAGGAGTTCTGGAATCACCTTTTTGTCTGGGATCACCCCCAGGAAAGGATTCAGGCTGGGGTTTGCCAGGAAAACAAAACTAACACCAGTAACCTTCCCACATGAGTGCATGCACAGAAGAGCCCCTGCCCCGCTCTCTTCCCTCTCTGCTGGAATTCCAGGAGGATGGGAGGCGTGCCTGTCTCGTTTCTGCATGTTCTGTTTGTGTTCCTTATTTCTGCTGCTGGTGTTTGCTCCCCTCATGTGCACCCCGACCCCCAGCCCGTTCTTGCTCTGGTTTTCCCCTCCTGGAGGCTCTCCCTGGTGTCTGTTCCCAGTTCATGTGGTGCTCAAAGATGGCAGAAATCAGCCTTTTCCTCCTTCCTCTGCTGCAGAATTTTCCAGTTTTCCTCTCTGAGCACAGGGAGCAGGATCTTTCCTTGCTGCCAGCTGGGCAAGGATTTAAGCTCAGTTTAAAGTGCTGATTTTTAATTTTCTCTTTTCTCCCCACCTCAAGCTGCTTCCACTCCTGGTGCTTGTGGCACCCTCTGAAAAACACAATAAAGAAGTGTCCTGGGGGGAATTTTGGGCCTGGCTGAGCCTCAGTCCCTCGGCATCACCACCAGGAGCACAAGGTCCTGCGTCCCTCCTGCACAGAGAGGATTTAAATCAGATATTTGATGATATTTGATGATATTTGATTTGAAATCTGGGCTCTGTGGAGCTGCTGGCTGTCACCCAGCCAAGCAGCAGCAGCAGCATGTGGGGTCCTCAAAGGGTTCCCCTGGTTTAAAGGTTGGGAAGGGCTCAGGAGGGTGGGACAGGCTGAACTCTGCCCTGGCATGGAGCACCCCTGCCGTGCTGTTCTGCATGTCTGAGCATGAGCCCCTTCTCCTGCTGACCACCTTCTCTCTCCAGCTACTCACATCTTCACTCATTGTAGGGTTGCTGATTCTGCTGGACTAAACTTTTCCCACTAAACTTCTTCCTCCTCTGTTTGACACACTAACCCAGTTTTCATTTTACAGCCCTGTGTTTGGATTGCATCCACCTGCTTGAGATAAATGAAATAAACACACATTTCTGGAGAGAAAACTGTGCTTTACCAGGGCTTGCACTGCTCCACCTGTTGGTTTTCAGCACTTAGGAGCATTCTCTTCTTTAAAGGGAAATGTTTCTCAGAGCAGAAATGAATTTAAACTACTGGGGGGAGGAAAGAATGAATCAGGAGCTAGAAATTAGATAATTCAAAGTGAAGAAAAGGAAGAAAAGTTTCAGCTGAGCGGGTAATTAATCATGGGAACGGCTGTGTGCAAAGTACAGCAGCATCTCTGACATTTAAAATGGAGAATAAGCATCTTTTCAAAGGATGTTCTTATGAGTCTTGGTGCTCAATCACTGGGAACAAGATTCCAGGCTGTGTTAGATAAAAGGTCAGGTTGTGTAGGTGCAGCGTTCCCTCGGCACTCGGAGATCTCTGTCCTCGTTACTGATTGTCTGTGAGGCTGGGCAGGGAGCAGGGAGACGCTGCTCTCCTTGTGTCCCTGTGCCCAGGGAGGGCAGGGATGGGGCTCTGCTGCTCTGGGGAGGCTCAGGGGGCTCAGGGCTGCCCCTGGGAGCTGTTTTGGGGCACAGGGACAGAGCCAGGCACTGCTGCTGCTGCTGCTGGGAATTCCTGGTGACTGTCCAGGACACTTCCTGCAGAATGGCTCCTGCCACACAGCTCCACAGTCAAAGGCAGGGGCTTTGTGTGGTGTTTGTCTTTTGGGATTGAGGAAAATAACATCATTGCTTCTTTAACTGATGTGTTCAGTATGCCCAGGTGAGGATGAAGTTTTCCTGTTTATTTGTGCCTTAAACCACACTTGTGTCACCTTTTCATGTTCAGTGTAGACTGAGAAAGCTGTCCCAGGGTGGAATCCACAGCTGGAACGTCCAGGGGGTGTGGGAGCCTTGCAATAAGGGGATAAAGGCAGAGGAGAGGATTTGGAAAAGCGAAATGTGACCTGGAAAAAAGGAGTGTTGCCTCTCCACATCCGTCAGAGGAGTTGCTGTGTTGTTAAACACAAATGTGTGTGTCCCACACCCCTGGAGTGGGATTGATTCCCTTCTGGGAATTCATGGGATTCATCTTAAATCTCAGTTTCAGCCCAGGCTTTCCCATTGGTATTTCACCAAAAAATTGTGCTCCTGTTCCTTTGAAAGGGAGGAGGGAGGGAAAGGACTTCAAATTCCTCTGCAGATGAACTTTGGAAGGATGTTGGAAGGTGAAGCTTCCTGTGGCCACTCAGGAGTCCCTGTGCTGCCCATGAGGAGCTGGACACAGATCCAGGGCTGTGAATCTGGCATCAGACCTTCTGCATTTGGCTTTTCCAGCAGAGGTTCAGGGTGGGATTGGGATCCTCCGAGGGACTGGGTAGGAGGAGCAGTGTGGGAGCTGGGCTTGTGAGTCAGTGTGCCCTGCAGGAGCAAGGGACACTTCCATTTCCTGCTGGTGGCAGGGTACACTTTGGGAAATGATAGCCTTTTTCTCCAAAAAATGGTTATTCCAGAAGAGTGAAGGGGTTTCTCTGAATCTCTCTCCAGTATCCACTGGAGTTCCACCGCTGCAGGCTGAATGAGGGGATGTGCTCTGGGGTTCTGTTCAGGTGTTCTCTCATTTAAGTGGTCTAGCAGCTCAGAAAGCCCTAAACAAATTCAGAGTGCAGCCCTGGGTCTGTCTGAGGGGCACAAGGTCCTTTTCAGTGGTGCTCTTCACATCCCATCCCACAGGAGCAGCTTGCCAGGTGTTTCACAGCAGTTCCTACAACAAAAGCAGCGAGGAATTCCTCGTTGCTTTGGGATTTTCTTGGGGAGGGGGGATCTTTGTCACTCTGACTCCATCCCAGCACATGCAAAAACGGAAATTTGGTGTTTCAAATGCAAGGAATACTTGGGTGTGGCAAATATTTCCCTCAGACACACGGTGCCCTCTGTGTCTGGGTCAGCTCATACCCCGAGCTGAGGATAATAAAGCGTTCTTGTGATTGTTATGAGCACTTTTTCCTTGCTAATGCCTGTTTATTTTTTTCCACAAATAACCCTGAATGTTGTTGCAGGGGAACCCAGTGCCCCCAAGCTGGAAGGTCACATAGGAGAAGATGGCAACTCCATCAAAGTGAACGTCATCAAGCAGGACGATGGTGGCTCCCCGATCAGGCACTACCTGATCAAGTACAAAGCTGTAAGTGTGGCACAGCCCGGGCTGCCCTGGGCTCGGGGAGGGGCTGCAGTCAGCAGAGAAACCTCTGTCACTCCCCTGCTTTAAATGGGAGTGCTGAGATGTCAGGGAGCACTTTGGTACAACTCGCAGCTTTTGCCCTCTGAAAATAGTTTAGTGGTGGGGAGAAGTGAGAGGAGGAGGTGAGGGGATTTCTTGTCAGAAAGAACAGGGTTCTGAGCAGGAGAGAGGCTGCTTTGGCATCTCACCCTCTGTGCCCAAGAGCATGTGATGGTGTCAGTGAATCCCAGAATAGCTGGGGTTGGAGGGAGCTCCACAGGGACGTGCCCAGGTGGGTTTGGGATGTCTCCAGAGAGGGAAACCTTCCGTGGGTGCCTGTTCCAGAGCTCTGCCACCCTCCATGGGAAGAAATTCTTCTTCATATTGGGGTGGAACTTGTGTTCTAGTTGGTGGCCACTGCTCCTCATGCTGTGACATGGAACAGAGCCTGGCCCCGTGCTGTGACACCCTTTGGGGGTGTCTGTGTGGGGTGACAGCGCTGCTGAGCCCCTGGGGTGCCCCTGGCCCTGGCTGATGCCTCATGACGCTCCTGGAGCAGAGCAAAGGAGTAAAGCTGGGATTTGTTAAAAGCCCTTCCAAGGATCACCTTGGGCAGTGCAAGCCACCCAAGATGGGCCCCGGCTCAGGAGTTTCACACTTGGATCAGCTCTGGTCCATTTCCATCTCGGGGTGAATTGTGCAATTGCAGCTGCAGGTGATGCAGTCCCATCCTCCCAGATTGCTCTCCTCAATTCCCTGCTGCTTGTGCTTTTTGGGGCTGGAGCTGCAGCGCTGCCCTTGGCTGTGGGGCTGGGGAAGGATTGTTGTGTGTGCCTGAGCTGTGAGGAGAACTGGCTGACACTTTGTGTGGAGTTCAGAGTTAGCTCCCAGTGCAGAGCCAGGGAAACACAAAAGCTGAACCTTGAGGCGAGCTGTGCTCTGTCCCTCCCTGCAGAAGCACTCCTCGGAGTGGAAGCCCGAGATCCGGCTGCCGTCGGGCAGCGACCACGTGATGCTGAAATCTCTGGACTGGAACGCCGACTACGAGGTGTACGTGATAGCTGAGAACCAGCAGGGCAAATCCAAACCTGCCCACTACGCCTTCCGCACCTCGGCACAGCCCACCGTCATCCCAGGTACCGCTGCTCTGCCTCCTCCTGCCCATTAATGCCACACAGCCGCCCTAATGTGCCCCAGTAACCCTGACAGCTCGCTTGCTTGAAGCCCATCCTCTCATGGTTGGTCCCCCACCCCGAGCTGAGGGTCGTGGCTGTGTGCATACCTGTGGCAGGTATGTGGGAGTGCTCCCTGGCAAATCCCTGCCTGGCTCTTCCCAGGGGGTGTTGGCTTCTTGTGTTGGGTAGGAAAAGCTTTCCCAGAGCAGAAAGTGGAATTCCTATTTTACGCCCTTCAGCTCTGCTTTTCACAAGGCAGGTTTCCCAAATCTCCCTCCCTGCTTCTTTGTCCATCTTTGGAGGAATGGAAGCACCAGGAGTTTGCTGGCAGTTGGATGGGAAGGCAGTGAAAATCTCTCTCTGAGCATTTTTCAGTTCAAATTACCAAATGACAGTCATCACAATCCAGTGTTGAGGAGGGCATTAGGAAAAAAACAACTCAAAGGCTTCAGGATGCTGCTGGAAGCAATTAAAACAGACTGTACTTATTAGTGTGCTCATAAAGTGAGGGAGAAGAACAATTCCTGCAGAAACCAAGCAGAACTCTCAGCTGGGAAACTGAAATTGAGCAGTTTGTGGCAATCTGTTGAAAGGACAGTTAGGATTTCTTTTCTAGATGTGGACATTTAAAAAAAAAAGGGGGGGAAATCCACACAAAGCAACCAAAATGTGAGGATGGGATTGCTGGAGTAGCTGTACATGGAAGTTGTGGTGGTTAAAGACAGGGATGCTGAGCCTGGGTTGGTGCTGCCAGCCCATCCTGAAGGGATTGACTTTTGATTTCATTCTGTTCATGTTTTCTCTTGAAACTAGCGAGTTTCCTTCAGTCTTTCCCCAAGAATTGAGTCCCTGCTCCCCTGTGCCCGTTCCCTGGCTGAAGGGAACAGCTCAGCCCCTGTGGGAATGCTGCAGTCCCCCTTGGCTGAGGCAGATCGTGGTGTTGAGCACAGAAATGGGTGAAAAAGTGGGAAAAGTGGGACTGGCAGTGAGGAGGAGGGAGATGGGGCAAAGGAGAGGCTGGGGGTGCTTGACCAGGGCGTAGTTTTGGGTGGAAGGACCCTCAGTAACTCATTGAACACCTCACTCTGTGCTTCTCATTTTCAACAGCTCTAATCCTTGCTCCCCCTCTGAGCCCTTTAAATCCATGTAACACGTGCAGGACCCTCAAAAATCCAGGGAAAACCCAGTTTTTGTTGCCAGAGGTGAAACTTGTCTGGCCCCCCTGAGGTTATTCCTCACTTAGCTTGGTGTAAAGCACAGGAGGGGCCAGGATCTGAGGCTGCCCCTCCAATGCTGCACAAAACAAAAGCAGTTTTGGGCTGGAATTGAGCAGCTCCTCAGAAAGGGCTGTGTCCTTGTGCAGTGACGTGGTTCTTGCTGGGTTTGTGACTCGTTCTCCTGGGTTTTTTGTCATTTTTGGCCTTCCAAGGTGCCCCAGACTGAAAACACTGGGGAAAATATTTCCAGTATTTCCAGGGACCAGGTTGGTTTTTCCTCTGCTGTGCAGCCCCACAGGTTTTATTGGCAAACTGCAGCAGGGAGGAGGCTCTGTGTGTTCCTTTCCTCGTTGTTTCCGTGGCATCTCTGTGTTTTTCTCTCAGATGAGCTGTGCAGGAGTCAGAGGCAGTGCTGTAACAGCCATTGCTGTGCCTGACAGCAGTAACCAGGGATTTCCTGCAGGAAAATGTGCTTTTATTGTGTGGAGTCCTTTGTTCCCCTCACCTGTGCAGAGGCCTGAGTGGCTGGAAGGATAAGGGTGTTATTTTCAGTAATAATAACAATAATGATAATAATAATAATAATAATCACACTGGCATTGGAGTGGTTCCCGAGCAGCTGGGAGGCTGAATGGCAAAGTCAGAGGATTCCTGAGACCTTGGTGCTCCTTCAGGATAATGTGGATTTTTTATCCAGGCTTTGGGGAAGGGCTTGGACAGGCAGGTGGATTCTCTGCTGCACCAAAGCTTTTCTTGTTTTCCTTTTTTCCCTGTTAAAGGCTGTGCTCTCAGGCTCCAGACACATCTCCCTGTCTCTCGCTGAGCCCCTTCTGTCCCATCATTTTTAATCTCATTTGCTTGCAAACCCCACCCACCCTGCCTTGGACCCTGCTCTGCAGCTTTGGGCTTTGCTGAGCTTCTGCCCCTTTTGTGGTGAATGTGCTGCTCCTTGAACCCTGAGCCATTTTAATTTACGAGATTAAATAAACCTTTGATTCTTATGTTTTCTGTATTTATGACCTAATTTTTTTTATCTATTTTTCTCTCTCTTTCTCTCTCTCTCTCTCTCTTTTTTTTTCTTTCTTTTTTTCTTCCTCTCTTCCTTTCTTTCCCTCCCCTCTCCCTTTTTTCCCCCCAATTCCTCTCCTATGTCTGTCATCCATGGTCACCTTGGATCTCACGGGGAACATCCACGCTTGCCACATGCACCAAATTTGTTTTTAAAACAACCATATTCCCCCCTCCTGGGAACCATTGTCTGGCGCCTGCAGCGACCTTGGGAAGTCCATCAACGTCGTCCTCCTTTGTCTCATTGCTTCTTTCTGCAGTGACTCTGCTTTTGCTCTGTTAGAAACTTTCCAAAAAAAAAACAAAAAAAAAGAGTCAAATAAAGCAATATTTGCTTGGGAAGGCCTGGGTCCCACCAAGGTGTGGAAGGAGATAACTTTGCTTCAGAGGATCGTGTCAGTTCAGAGAACAAAACAAAAAAAAAAAAAAAGAAACAAATGCAGAACACTTAAAAAAAAAATGTTTAATTTGAAAGAGTCAGTATTTTGTAACAAGGAAAAAAGGTTTAAGCCAAGTTTTTTCTCTTTAACATTTTTTTTTTTGTTACTTGTAATGAATTTGCCCTTTTAAATGGCTGTAAAGAAAGATTTTTTTTGGTGTTGTTTGCTTGCTGTTTTCATCAAAGGAAGGTGCAATGCTGAAAGCCTTTAAGATCCTGCTTTTTACTGATTTCTTTGCACATCTGGTGCTGATCTTGTGCAAAAGGAGGCCCCATCCACAAACCCAAACCCACAGACTGTAAAAAGAAAGAGAAGATTTGTCAGAGACCATCCTGCTGATTGCCCAGATGTCTCTGGGGGCTTTTGCATGCGGATTCAAATGTCTGGAAGGTTTTCCTGCTGTGCTGGTCTGACTAGAAACATCTGCTGGGATCACACTGGGGGCACTGCTGCTTTTCCTTCTCCTCCTGGGCGACTCCTTGTCCCTCCCTCGTGTGCAGATTCCTCCTGGAACACAAATTCCCAATGCTTCTCTAACGCTGCCTGGATTTCCACTGCTGTGTTATCACAGAGAAATCCCTTTCCTCGCTGTTCTAACAGAAAAATCTTAGCTTGGATGGAGTTACCCAAGCAGCAGAATTATTGTTACTGATCCTTAATAATATTCCTGGTTAACTGTGCGTGTGACAGGATTAATCCATGGTCTAAACTGGTGCACTAGAGCCAGCTCTGTTATCAAATCCTGGCAATTTCCTTCAACAAAATTCAGATGATTTTTTGCTTTGCTTCTTTAAAAAAAAAAAAAGAACAGAACTCCCCATCCCCGCACAAAAATAAAACCACAAAAAAATCACAAAAAATCTGACACAACAACCCCAATGAAGTGTTTGGGATAGGAAATCCATTGGGATAGGAAATCCATTGGGATAGGAAATCCATCCCCTCTGATGCTGTCCTAAAATCAGGGAGCTCTCCCTTGAATTGTGTGTCCAGAATGTCTCAGACCCTCCCAGCTGGGTGGGATTCATCTTCCTGACGGAATTCCTCACAGGGACAAACGAAATCCTGTCCCCACTGATGTCTGACTCTGCCTTTCCTGCTCTGCTCTGTTTGTTCAGACCTCATTCTTTATCAGTTCTGAACTTTTCTGTCTGGGTTGTAAATGAAAATTTGGTGCAGGTGTCACAGACAAAAAGCCTGTGGATTTTTATTATTTTTTAACAAAACCCCCTCATTTCTCATTTCTACTGCTCTGTTGTAGAGTTCAGACACTTTGTGAGAGCTTTGGAGTTTGCTGAAGTGCAGCAAAATAATGCTGATGCTAAGAAATGGTGTGAGAAGTGGTGTGATTTCCCCTCTAACTGGATTAACTGAGCTCGCTGTAGATCTGGAATCAGCTTTTTGTGGCTTTCCCCACAGAGGGAGGTCACTGCCTGAGGCTGAGATGTTTCTCACCAAAATCAGAGTTACTAAAATTCTCTAACTTGGTGTGGCGTGGAGTGGAGAGAGAGCAGCCCCTGTGGAGGGGGTTCTGTCCCAGGAGAGGATTCTCTGAGGCAGAGCAAGCAGCTGAGACATCCTGAATGGGGCTGAAATGAATCCCAAACCCAAGAGCAGTCAGGAGCCCATCCAGCTTGGGACACAGACAAAAAGTGCTTCTTCCTGTTTGCAGAAATCAGGAGCATAACTGGGGTTTTTAGCACTATTTTTTGCAGGTTTGTAACACACCAGGTACCACAGATCTGTCAGACCCTCCAGGTCTCATGTCCAAGGTCTTAGGCCATGATGTGAGTAAAATAAAATTGAAATAGAGTTTTTAGAAAAGGCAGAGATTCAGATCTGGAAGCAGGAGATGCTCAAACACTGGGATTTTCATGCCAGCTGCAGTTCCCGTGTGTGTGTGAGGGGCTGCAGAGCCTTGCAGCGTTTTTAAAGCCCCTCCACATTCTCAGAGTTGTTTGTCAGGGCTTTGTTTGGCTGTTTTCATGGGCAGGAAGGTTTGAGAATGCCCTGTTCCACCTGCAAGTGTCTGCACCTCCAGGGTGCTGGGGAATAAAATGAAGGTTTTATCTAAAAGGTTTTAATTTAAAACAACTTCTCCCAACTCTTGGAGCTGCTGGAGTGGGGTCAGATTTATTCCAGGAAAGAGGATTTTGGTGTTATTCTGTGTTCAGCCTGGAGGAGAAGCTTTGGGGTGACCTCAACCTTCCAGGACCTGAAGGAGCTGACAGGGAAAGGGGAGAGGGATTATTTCCAAGGGATGGAGGGACAGGAAAGGGGGAATGGATTCAAACTGACAGAGTGCAGGGTTAGGTGGGATCTTGGGAAGGAATTCTTCCATGTGAAGGTGAGGAGGATGGAATTCCCAGAGGAGCTGGGATCCCTGGCAGTGCCAAAGGCCAGGCTGGACGGGGCTGGGAGCAGTGGGAGGTGTCCCTGGACATGGCAGGGGTGGGATTTAAGGTCCCTTCCAGCCCATTCTGGGGTGTTTCCATCCCCTGACATCCCCAGGACAGTCCCAGGGAAACAGCAGAGCCTGGAGGAGCAGAGCACTGAGGTTCCAGCAGGAATTCAGCGAGCTGTGGGATATCCCCCCTGCCCCAGGCTCTGTGTGCTCCCTCACAGATGCTGAAATGTGGATTTGTGGATTTCTGCCATGGGCAGAGAAGGGTTCCTGTCCCCAGGGTGAGCTGGGGGTGTCTGAGGGAGCAGCTCTGTAAAACCTCGTGCAGAGGGAACTTCTCAGCGTGCACCAAGAGCAGAGAGCTTCTCTCCTGGCTTCTGCTGCTGGATGCACAGAATGGATTTTTATTTGTTTTGTCCGTTCTTCTTTCTTTTGCCAAACCCTGTAGGACCTTTGAAATGCCTGGAGTCCCTCCTGCTCCTCTCCATCCTTTTTGTCTCTTTGCCTGTGCCTGGACATTGTGTAGCTGAGACCCCTCTGGGAAGACACAGCTGAGCTCTCTCTGCCAGGGCAGTTTTTGTACAGAAAATAAAACTGCTGGCTGATTTTCCTGTGCACTGTAAAAAGAGGGGGATTAGAAAAGCCAGTCTTGCAGGAAGCTCGTTTTCCGTTGGAAAAACGTAATTTGTAATTAATAAATTCTTCACTTCTTTAGAATTAAGGACTCCAGAAGTTCTTTAATGGTTTGTGTTTCCTTATTTAACTGGGGGAAATGTTGTTCCTCTTAGTCCTGAGAATGGCAAAAGGGTTGGACATGGATCAGGTCAGAAATGTCCAACATCAGTTTATTACATTTATTTCATACACACAGTGGGAGCAGCTGCTCCACAGCCCATTTATTTATACATTTCTTTTGTATACAGGGTTGGTTTAGGCCCCAGAAAACCCTTCAGGGATGTCTGAGTATTAGTTTCATTAAATACAGCATAAATCCAGCTACAGGATGGAGGGGAATGGTTCTTGAAAGTATTTGTAGATCAATTAAATTTAATCAGATGGGACAGTCTGTGAAAAGAATAATCTCCACTGTGGTTCCTGCATTTTATAGGAACAGCAAATTCCCTTTACAAGGAAAAAGAAAGGCAACACCAAGAGCCTCCCAAGTTCATGGGGTCGTGGAGGATTTTTTTATTATGTTTCCTTACTGCCAGTCCCTGGGAGGTTTGGAATATCAGTTCACACCATGAATTGGGATTTATGAAACCACAGCTAATGGAAAAGGTTCGAAAGTTCCTGCAAATTGCAGGGCTCTCTTACCAGCCTAGAAACCCAAATTGCAGGCAATTACCTCGGCCCAGTTTCGTTGTCTGAGGTGTAAAATCCCAGAATAGCACAAAAACAGGGACATCCCTCTGCAGGCTTGCCCTGGTTCTCCCCAGCTCCTCCTGCCAGGGCAGAGGAGCAGGGCAGGGCTGGAGGGGAGCAGAGGGGTCTGTGCCTGTCACAGCAGGAATCTGGGGGGGTGACAGCTCCTGGAAAAGCTGGGGAGGGGAGAGGAGGCAAAGAGCAGCACCCTGCTGTGAGTGGAATGTTCCAAAAGGGGAAAATTCCAGCTCTGGAGGCACCCAGGGATGTCTGATCCCGGGATCCTGCATGGGAGGGGTGACAGCTGCAGGAGCACAAACACATCAGAAGAGGGAAAATCCACGTCCTCCTCACTCCCTGCAGGCATCAGGGGGGGGTTAATTCATGTCTTTATTCAGCTTGCTGGCAGGGGCTGGACCTGTGATGCCAAGTGTTGGTCAGGTGCCTCTCAGGGGTTCTCTGTACTTGTCCTGCTGGAATCTGCATTCCTTGGTCCATCTCGGGGTCACAAAACGGAGCAGCCCCTCTCTGTTTGTTCTCAAATGCGTGGCAGAGGGGGTGGCTCTGTCTGCAGCCCTGGGAAGGCTCTTTCCACCTGTCCACATAAATGGGGCTGAGGGGATGGAGGGGCTCTGCTGGGGGGTCTGCAAAGCAAAGATTCCAAGGGTTTGGGGCTCCAGGGGCTGGGACAGTGAGGGGCTGGGGAGCCATGAGCAGGTTCTGGAGAGCTGGGTCTCACCTGGGCCCCAGGGAAGGGTTTAACCCAGTTCCACCACCGTCACCCAATGATTTGCATCCCACCAGGAAAAATCCTGCTGCAGAGTCTGGGCTTTGCTTCCACTGCTCCTTGGGCCAGGCTTTGGCAGTGCCAGAGCCACTCTGGACCTTCCTCTTGAGGAGGAGGGGGTGGAGGGAAGCAGGAGGAGATTCTGCTGTTTGCTTCCCAGGGATGGGAAGAGCCCCCTCAGGTCCATCCTTTCGGGCAGGGTAAAGCACTGGTTATGGCACAGGGCTGACAGAGGGTGGACTTCCCGAAAAATCAACTTAAGCCAAATCTGAGCCCTAGAACCTCAAATTTTAACCCGAACACCTTCTCTTCTTCTCTCCCGTGGTCTCTGAAGCCAGCACTAGCCCTACCTCGGGCCTGGGCACTGCTGCCATCATTGGCATCCTCGTGGTGGTCTTTGTGGCGCTGCTGGTGGCCGTGGATGTCACCTGCTACTTCCTGAACAAGTGCGGGCTGCTCATGTGCATCGCCGTCAACCTGTGCGGCAAATCCGGCCCCGGGGCCAAGGGCAAGGACATGGAGGAGGGGAAGGCGGCCTTCTCGTGAGTACTGCCCCCAAATGCCTCCCTGTGTGCCCACCTGGCAGGACAGGAGCTGCCTCGGGGAGCAGGGGTCCCTCATCTCCCTGGGGAGGGGGCTGGGGTTTGCTTGGGGCCTGCAGGAAGGTTCTGGAGCTGTTCCTCTGGCTTTTTGTCTCGTTCCTGTTGGTAGCCATCAAATAGGTGCTGGACATCCCAGTTCTGGACATCCCAGTCATTCCAGTCATCCCAGTGCTGGACATCCCAGTCATTCCAGTCACCCCAGTGCTGGACATCCCAGTACTGGACATCCCAGTGCTGGACATCCCAGTTCTGGACATCCTAGTCATTCCAGTCATCCCAGTGCTGGACATCCCAGTGCTGGACATCCCAGTCATTCCAGTCATCCCAGTGCTGGACATCCCAGTCATTCCAGTCATCCCAGTGCTGGACATCCCAGTCATTCCAGTGCTGGACACCCCGTGCTGGACATCCAGGGAGTGCCTGGAAGGAGCAGTGGCCGCGGGGAGCTGTCCCCGCTCTCCCCGTGGCCGTGTGTCCCCGTGGCCGTTTTGAGGCTGTCTTTGCAGGAGGAGCCTTCACTGCCCTTCCCTCGTTACAGGAAGGATGAGTCCAAGGAGCCCATCGTGGAGGTGCGGACGGAGGAGGAGAGGACCCCCAACCACGACGGGGGGAAGCACACGGAGCCCAACGAGACCACCCCGCTGACAGAGCCAGAGTATGTGGCCTTAGGCAGCCCTAGCACAGGGTCACTGCATTGCCCTCAGCTGCCCTAATCCCTCAGGAACACGAGTTAGGGCAGGAAGAGAGGAAGAAAGGTAAAATCTCCACGTGCCAGTGAGGAAGTGCCTCCTCTCAAGCTTCAGTGGTTGCTGCTTCCAGCATTGGAAGGGAAAGGGGAAGGAAGCAGAGGTTCCTGAAGGGCTCTGCCAGCCTGTCCAGTGTGGAGATCCAGCTCTGTCCGGGGGCACTGCGAAGGATCCGGAGCAAAATGAGCCCCAGCTGGCAGCGAGCCCCGTCCCAGCAGTGCTGGGTGAGAGCTGGGGGAGATCCTCCCCAGGAGCTGGGCCCTGCAGCTGGAGTCACGGCCAGGCTGAGCATTCCAGGGGAGGCCTGAGCTGAGCTGGGGCCTGAGTCTGCGGTAATGTGATGTGAGAACAGGAACTGGGGTTTGCTGGGGGCTCTGCAGGCCTTCAGACAGACCTGCAGCAGGACAGGACAGGACAGGTGAGGGGCTGGATCAGGGTGCACGCTGGCACCGTGCTGTGTTGGTGGCAGGTGGCACAGGGCCACAGGCTCGGGGAGTTGGCAGAGCTGCCTGGAGAGGTCATGACCGAGAGGCTGAGAGGAGATTTAGGTGAGAAGAGCCTCTGCAAGCAGACAGGATCCCATTTGCCTCAGCCCACGTGAACGAGCCATTCCTGCAGGTCACGTCCTCTTGGCTTTTTTGCTCTTCCTGATTATCCTGAGCCATCCCAGCCTCGCTCCCTTTGCATGTCTGACCTCTGCAATCTCTGCTCCTGAGTCCCTCTCCACGTCATGTGTGTGTGCTGTCCTCACTCTCCCTCTCTGCCCCTCTCCCCGCTGTCACTTCGGGCCTTCATTGTCTCTCTCTCTCTCTCTCTTTCCCTCTCTCCCTCTCTCTCTCTCTTGTCCCCGTGTCCCCCTCGCAGGCACCCCGCCGACACCGCGGCCACCGTGGAGGACATGCTGCCTTCTGTCACCACGGGCACCACTAACTCTGACACTATCACTGAAACCTTTGCCACGGCCCAGAACAGCCCCACCAGCGAGACCACCACGCTCACCTCCAGCATTGCCCCTCCGGCCGCGGNAAGCAGGAGGTGGCCAAGAGCCCCGAGAAGGAGCCTGTGCAGCCCAGCGCCGCCAAGAGCCCGGCAGAGACCCCCAAGAACCCGAGCAGCGTGAAGAGCGAGGCTGCCTCGGGCAGCGCCGCCAACCCCTCGCAGAACGAGGACTTTAAAATGGACGAAGGGACCTTCAAGCCACCAGACATTGACCTTGCAAAGGATGTTTTTGCAGCTCTTGGCACTGCTTCTCCTCCTGCTGCCAGCGGGGCTGGTGGGCAAGCCCCCGAGCCTGCTGCTGCCGCTGCAGACGGCTCTGCCCCCGCAAAGACCGAGTACGGCCAGCTTTACTCTTGTGTTGGTTGTGTGCTGTGTCCCTCGTGCCCTGGTGCTCGTGCTGTGTCCTCTGTTGGGTGTTCTCTTGACTGACCTCGCTGTTTCCTTAGCCAGCTGCCTCACCCCAGAGCCCATGGGGTGTTGGAAGGTGCCAGGAGGAGAGCAGGAATGGGCTGTGCCAGGGAGGCAGAGGAAAGGAAGCTGGGAGTTTATCAGAAATGTGTTGTTCCTCAGGCTTTTGGGCAGCTTTGTCTATCCTGGGTTATTCTTTGCTAAAGAAGAGCAGAAATAGTCCAGTTTGGTGGAAAGAGCTTTTGGAGTGAGGAGGTTCTGGATCCCCAGATCCCATCTCCCGCAGGCCAGAGCAGCCTTGGGGCTCGCTGGGGGCCAGGCTGGGCACAAGCAGTGCCAGGGTGCCAGCTCTGGAACCTCTGGAGCTGTCCCCAGGCTGGCAGGAGCCTGGCTGAGACAGGGGGGAGCACCCCGAGCTGGGCAGGAGAGAGAAAACAGCAGCAGGGGGCTGGGGGAGGGTCCCAGCTGTGCTGCAGATGTTGGGCTCTGGCTGGGCTGGCACTTGTCACCTCCCTCACGCTTGTGAAGATGTCTGGGACAGAATTCCTGTCCTCTGTGCTCCCCTTTCTCTGGGATCCTGGGGATTTCAGGCCTGGCTGTCTGTAGGAGCACAAAGAAAAATGGGATTGCTGCTGAATTATCAGGGAGTTGGGTGCCAAAGCCAAATCCTTCTGCAGCTGTGTGAGGTTTCCTTGCTGCTCCTTTTTGCAGCCCTGCAGCTGAGCCCTGAGCAAAGCCAGGGCAGGAAAAGCCGAAAATTGGTTAATCTAGAACTGAATGAGCCAGGGCAGAGGAGCTGAGCTCGGTTTTCCATATTCCTGCGTCAGGAAATGCTGGTTTTGCTCTCCCAAAGCGAGTTGTTCCCACACAGACTCTTAATTCACTCCTCCCCCATGGCTAACTGAGCCCAGCCCGCGTTTCTGTGCCTCTAAACTCTGTCCCTCTGGTTCTCCTCCCCAGGAAAATGCCAGCAGAGGACAAAGGCGCCGTGCAGGACAGGAAGAGCCCCCCAGCAGAAGTGAAGACGGTGCCCAACGAAGCCACACAAACAAACGAGAACGAGAGCAAAGCATGATCAGCACCGGCAGAGGGGACGGCAGAAACCTTCACCGAGCATTGAAATCACAACCCACACACCCATCTCATTCCTCTAGTGTCTGTTGCCTTTTTTTAAAAAAGAAAAACAAACAAACAAACCAGAAAAATGCATAAACGGGGGGAGGGAGGGAATGTCTCTTTTTTTCCTTTTTATTTTTTGTTTTGTTTTGTTTTGTTTTTTCTCTTCTTCTCTTTTTTGGTTTTGATTTCTGTTTTTTGGTTTCGTTGAGATTCCTAGACAGGTTCTATTCGTTGTGCACTTGCTTTTAAAAAGTAAACCATGTTAAAAACAGGGTTAAACCCATCACCAAATCAGGGCCCTGCTGGCCCTGTGTATATTCAAACAAGCAGACATTGCAACGCTGGTTGCAGTGTGGTTGGGAAACTCAAAATCAAGGTAGTGCTAGACACAAAAAAAAAAACCACAAAAAAAGACAAAAAAAAAAGAAAAAAAAAGAAAAGAGACCCTGTTGTTTCCTTTGTTAGTATAGCAGAGATAACCACTGTGCTGCTGGGCACGGCTGGTGCTTAAAGAACAAAGTCCACAATTTATTTTTATACTTTTCAGTCGAGTTTGAAATATGTAAAGCCTCATAAATAAGTTATAATTTCTGTTCACCTTGTATCTGGTCAGTATGCAAAGTGTCTCGAGCTCTTTGTGACTGAATCCTGCTCGCCACGTTAGACCTTTATTTGGGGTTGATTATTATCTGTTTTTTAGGAAGAATGCCAAAATTGCAGCTTTGGGGGATGTATTTCAATTTGCAGTATTCAGACTCTTACATTTCTTTTTCAATTTTACGTTCAATTTTGTTTTTATTTTCTTTTTGTTTTGCCAACTTTGGTTCTTTCCAGTGTTTACAATTGACAGATATTTTTTAAACTTTTGTTGTGTTGAAATGGATGTGTAAAATAGCTGCCTTTTTTTTTTCCTTTTTTTCTTTTTTTTTTGGTTTTTTTTTGGTTTTTCAGTCAATCCAGTCCTGTAGACACTAGGGTAGCAGCATGCTTGCTTTGCAAAGGGAGACATTTTCAACCATGGATGTTTACAGTAGTCGTTTCCCCTTTTCTCTTTTCTTAATTATTGTTATTATTATTATTATTGTTATTATTATTATTATTATTTCTTACTGGAGTAAGAAGAAAAGCGATGCTGGGGTTTGGTTTGGGTTTTTTTTTGGGGGGTGGGGGTGTTGAAACCACTTGCCACCACTCAAGGGCTTTATCCAGCAATCCCCAAACCTGCTTGGGGTGAGGGAATTGCTGGAGAAAATCCTTCTGTGCTTAAATTTAGTTTGAAGTCCCTTGCTGGACCTGGGCCTGACTGCATAAGAGAAATATCATCTCTGCTTTTTTAGGACATTCTCCCCTTTCCTTCACGGAATCCTCCCGGGGCTCTGAGGAGCACAAGGGAGGTTGGACAGTTTGGGCTGGTCTGGGCTCAGGTGTGTGACCAAATCAATCCCTCCTGATTATGGCAGAAAATTCCAGTTGCAGAAAATACCAATTTCAGCAAATTGCAATTTTAGCAAATTTCCAGTTTTGGAAAATAATCAGTTTCAGTAAATACCAACTTCAATAAACATCGATTTCAGGAAAATCTCAATTTCAGAAAATACCAATTTCAATAAATTCCAATTTCAGTCAATTCCAATATCAGTAAACTCCAACTTCAGTAAATACCATGTTCTCTGATCCTAAAAGAAAAACAAACCTAAAAGCAAAGATTTTTTTTTTTTGTTCCCCCAAAAGGTGCTGGGCAGATTCCAGACCCTTCCTGCAGGTCCAGCTCCAGCAGGAGATCCTTGGATCCCTCCTGCAGGACACAACCCCTGGAATCAGGAGCAGGGGCTGGAATTCCATGCCAGGGGCATCCTGCAGGGCTGGGCAAGGGCTGAGACCTGGCTTAAATCATGGATTAATGGGATTTAACATCAGGAATCATGGAGCAGCACTGAGATTTGGGGTTGGAGAGCTGATTAATGGGATTTGTTATCAGGAATCATGGAACAACACTGAGATTTGGGGGTGAAAAGGAGCTGTGAGCAGAAGGAAGGCAGAGTAGTGTAGGGAGAGACCAGCCCATTGTATAGAGATGTTCCTCCTCTTGGGGTTTTGGGTTTTATTTCCTTTTTTTTTTTTTTTTTTTTTTTTTTTTTTTTTTTTTTTTTTTTTTTTTTAATTCTACTTTAGATCTGCAAGCTTGTGCACTGTGGGTGCGTGACTATTTTAGTGTGAACCGTGTTTTTTGTCATAGTATTGAAATAATAAAAGCTTCAACATAGTTTGGATGTGGAAGGTGTAGCGCTAGTTCAGATTTGAGAAACAGAAAGAAAAAAAAAAATATTCAGGAATTAAAATAATTTAAAAAAAAAAAAAAAGAAAAAGAAAAAAAAAACAAAAGAAGAAAAACCAGAAAGAGAACAACTCTTACAAAGAGCAGAAGCCTTTAAATGAGAAAAGCAACCCGAGCTGACTCTGGCGTTCCCAGAAGGATGAGGGGGGTGTGGAGGCTGTATCCATGTATTCCTTGGGAATATGCAGTCTGTTCCAGTGGCATCACACCATTTCCAGCTGTGAGAAACAATGGTCTTGTCATTTGCTGAGTGTGGGGTTTCCTGCGTTTTGTTTTGCTCAGCTCCTGGGGTGCGCGGGAGGGCGATGGAGGCGCAGGCTGAGGCTCCCCTGCCCGTCCTGGGTGCCTTTGGGGCAGGACAGGGCCCGATTCCCCGGCCTGGTGTCAAACCCAAACCCGTCCCAGCGGTGTCCCTGAGCCCTGGGGACGTTGGGCTCACGGTGCCAAGGATTCCTTTCTTTTCCCCAAAGAAAGGAATCCATAAACAGCATAAACTGTGGCTGCAGTGCTGGGCAGCAGCGGTGCCGCCGTCCCCTGGGTGACCCCAGTTTGTCCCTTTTGGTCCTGCTGCTTCTGTCACCTGGCTGTGCTGTGAGCCCCAGAGCTGAGCAGCTGGTAGGAAACACATCACCATTCCCAAAACCCCGCCAGGTGGGAACCGGGGCTCTGCCCCACCCGGACAGGTGTGTTTGTCCCAAAAGGTGACGAGCTCAGAGCCCAGTGGCACTTTGGGGCTGGGCTTTAAGGTCCCTTCTGTCCCAGAGCTCTGGTTTGGGGTGGATTCCGAGGGACAAGGACACCCTGAGCACTGCCTGAGCTCCTTTGTGACCCCTCCCCACAGCTGTGCTGGCTCTGCACCGCCCTGAACAGCCAAAAATCGAGATTCCACTTCCAAGTGCCCCATTCACAGCCAGCTGCAGCCTCACCGCCTTGATGTGTCCCCTCGGGGAGGGACCAACCTGGGGCTGGTGGCACTGCCAGGGCTGCTGTGGGGCTGGTGGCACTGCTGTGGCTCTGTGTGTCCATCCCTGGGGTTGGTGGCACTGCTGTGTCCATCCCTGGGGTCGGTGGCACTGCTGTGCCCATCCCTGGGGCTGGTGGCACTGCTGTGCCCATCCCTGGGGCTGGTGGCACTGCTGTGCCCATCCCTGGGGTCAGTGGCACTGCTGTGCCCATCCCTGGGGTTGGTGGCACTGCTGTGACTCTCTGTGCCCATCCCCAGCGCTGGTGGCACTGCAGTGGCTGCTCCAGGGTGGGTGGCACTGCCCCGTGCCCGTCCCCAGTGTCACAGGAGCGGTGCCATCTCGTGCTGAGCCATTCGTACCGGTGACAATAGTGCATCCGTCAGCTTCCAGCGTGGTGTTTTCTCTCCACACTTTTCTATGGAGCCTTCAAACCCCACATTTTTCACCACCAGGCTGTTTTGATAGTTGTTCTCAGCCCCTCCATGGCCATCCTTCCCCAGCATTCCCTACTTTTGGGGGCCTTCTATCTTGTTAAAAAAAGAAAAAAACAAAAAATCTTTTTACCGAGTGAAACATCGACTCCACCTTTATCCCCATTCTCACTGGTGTAAATACTGATACTAACTGAGGATTTTGACTTTGCATTCTGTCAGAATACTGTGTTCAAATAAAAACTAAAAAAAAAAAAAAAAAAAAAAAAAAAAAAAAAAAAAAAAGCTGATGCCTGCAGTCTGCCCTTCTTTAGCCTCATCCCAACTGAAAGCACTTTAAAGTTTATTTCTTTGTCCCTCTCTATTTATTTACTTATTTCCTGGAGATAGCAAACACAAAAATGCAGTTTCACAGGTACTGTGGAGGGTTTTTTTCCCCAAAAAAAGGCACTTTTCTGTTGCCTGGGTGCCAGAACTTAATGAGCTTTGAATGCAATTAATTCGTTTTGAAATCTTGATATTTTTTTCTAAATTCTAGCTAAAAATTGACCAGATGCCCAACTTTAATTTTTTTACTCTGGGGGTTATGGGGAGGGGAGGGTTGTCTTATCTTCACGATTCTGGCAAAACAGACTTGATTTCCACACCGAAGTTTCCATTTTAAAGTCACTCCCCAACCATTTGATGTAAAAAACACCAACTGCTCTCAAGTGGGGAAGCATCAACTGGCCCAAGCCCCTGGTTGGGGTTGAAGGGGAGGCTCTGGGGTTGCCCTTTGAGATTTGGGGTTGCCCTTTGTGGGTGCAGAGGTCCCTCAATCCCCCCAGTCCCTGTGCCCTGCTGGCTTCCTGCTGCTCCCTTTGGACCTGGAGGAGCTCAGGGCTTCCTCCCTCCTCTCCCTGAGAAGGGAAAAGGGATTTTCCTGCCCCTGGAGCTGGGGCTGTGCTCAGTGGCAAATCCACTGACAGATCCTTTATTAGATCTTGACGTTTCTTCGGCCGTTTTCTCAACCCTCAGACCTTTTAATTTCCATTTAATTTTAATTTTCCCTCGTCTCTCCCTCTGTTAAGGCCATGGCACCCGACTGGCAGTGTCACCTGGGCTGAGTGTGGCTCCTTTTCCCCCGGGCTGAGTTTGGGGTAAGTCTAGTGGGGCTGGGGGGGCTGGAGGGAGATTTCTGTGCTGCCTCTTTCTCTCATCCCTTCTAGAAATCACAATTATCTGGCCTTTTATCGGCTATCAGTGTATGAATATCGTGCATGAGCTTCAGAGCATCATTTCAAGTGATTCTTTGA